TCCTTGAGGGTTTTGTTGAGACGAGGGCATCCGCCAGTCGTTCACGCTTCCGGCCTCTCCTCAACAAAATGGGATTACTTAGCGTCGCACTGGCTTGATCATGGAGGTTGCTCGTACCTCCATGATCCATGCGGTTGCTCCCCATTTTCTATGGCCGTTTGCGGTCCGATACGTTGCGCATCAGCTGAACCTCTGGCCTCGTGTCTCTGAGCCAGAGACCTCGCCCACCCTCTTCTGGACGGGGAAGGTTGGCGATGCGTCGGTGTTTTGGGTCTGGGGAGCGCTCTCCCTTGTTCGCGATGCCAAAGCGAGCAAGCTCTCCTCTCGCACTCTCCGCTGCGTCTTCCTTGGCTTCCCCACCAACGCCCCGCCGTGGCAGTTCTACTACCCGCGTGACCGTCGCATGTTCTCCTCCCAGGACGTCACCTTTGACGAGTCAGTCTGTTTTTACAGGCTACACTCGTACGCGTCCCACCCGGTCCCCCTAGTGCCTCTCTTCCTGGTACCAGTCCCCCCCTAGTAGACCCCCTCCCCCATAGGGTCCTGCTCCCTCAGGTGTTTCTCAAGTAGACCCACCCCCCTTGGTTGAGCCTTTGGAGATCTCTTCCGACTCCTCTGGCCCCGCTGAGGGGGGTGACCCCGCCGCTGACGACACGACGGCCAATCGCCGCTCTCCACGCTTGGAAACTCCCCTTGGTTTTCTACCTCGGCCGTCTTCGCCACCTTCACAGCCTGCTGTGGACTCTAGAGCTGAGACTGCTGGTGATGAGCATGGGGGTGCTGAGACAGAGGGTGAGGGTTCTAGGGGTGCTGCGCCTGGGGGTGCTGTGACTGGGGGTGCTGGTTCTGGGGGTGCAGCGACTGGGGGTGCTGACTCTAGGGGTGCTGCGAGTCCTAGTGGCGGTGGAGCTGTGGCCGACCCTACTGGAGGTCTTGGAGCTGGACAGCCACCGCAACCTGATCTACTTGAGACTCTCTCGCTGCAGGCAATTCGTGCGTGGATCGTTCGGCGAGGCAAACCTGGTGGTGGAGGGTACGGTCCTGCTGGTGCTGGAGCTTCTAGTCCTGGAGGTGCTGGAGGTACTAGAGGTGCTGCTGGTGCTGGAGGTACTAGAGCTGCTAGTCTTGGAGGTACTGGAGGTGCTGCTGGTGCTGGAGGTGCCGAAGCTACTAGTCTCGGAGGCGCTGCTGGTGCTGGAGGTGCTGGACCTACTAGTCCTGGAGGTCCAGCTGGTGCTAGAGGTGCTGGAACTGCTGGCACTGGCGGTGCTGGTGCTGGTGCTGCAGGAGCTGGAGGAACTAGAGGTGCTGGAGCTGCTGGTCCTAGAGGTGCTCGTACTGGAGTTGCTGGAGCTGCCGGAGCTGGTGGTGCTGCTAGTGCTGGAGTTACTGGGGGTACTGGAGCTGCTGGCACTGGAGGTGCTGGTGCTACTGGTGCTGGAGCTGCGGGAGCTGCTAGTCCTGGAGGTGCTTATACTAGAGGTACTGGAGATGCCGGAGCTGGTGGGGCTGCTCGTGTTGGAGGTGCTATTGGAGCTGCTAGCACTGGAGGTGCTGGTGCTACTGGTGTAGGAGGCGCTGGAGCTGGAGGTACTTGAGGTGCTAGAGCTGCTGGTCCATGAGGTGCTCATACTAGAGGTGCTGGAGTTGCCGAAGCAGGTGGTGCTGGAGGTGCTGGAGGTGCTACTCGAGCTGCTGGCACTGGAGGTATTGGAGTTATTACTAATCCTAGAGGCGCTGGAGCTGGAGGTGCTGGAGCTGCTGGTCCTGAAGGTGCTCGTACTAGAGGTGCTGGAGCTGCCGGAGTAGGTGGTGCTGCTGGTGCTGAAGGTGCTAGAGGTGCTACTGGAGCTGCTGGTGTTGGAGGTGCTGGTGCTGCTGGTGCTGTAGGCGCTGGAGCTGCTGGTACTGCCCCGCGCCAAGTGATTTTCTACCCGCCGCCGCAGTCGTCCCTGCTGCCGCCTGACTCGGTCCTTTGCCAGGTTCTTAGTCTCCCGTCTTCCACAGGCCTCACTCCACCTCTCCTGTGTCCACCAACAGATCAGTCTCAGCCATAGATACTGTCTAGCTCCCCGCTGCTTGCTCCTTTTCCTCACACTGAGGTGACTGAGTCCATAACTGAGCGTCGTGAGCCTGAGAATCGTGCTTCCAGACCTGTTCGTGCTCGTCGTGTCGCCCGTCATCGTCCTCCTGCTATCCTAGGCACTCACGGTATGGCACTTCGTCCTTCCTCTGTTCCACAGCGTGTTGTCCTGCCTGAGCCTCCTGCGTCCTCTCTTCCGCACGTTCTTGACCCTGAGTCCGACCTTGCTCGTGCTGCCAGTTCTACTGTCACTCGTCTCCTCGCTACTGTCGTCACTGACCCTGACTTTTAGTCCACTGCTGCGTTTGCCCTAGTCACTGAGCTAGTCAATTTTGCAGCTAGGAGTCGTCTCGACTACATGGCGAGTCTTGTTACTGAGTCTGAGTCTGTCTGTCCTCCGTCCGTCGGGGGTGAGCCTGCCCTTATAAGTAACGTCCTTGAAGACAGGCATTTTGAGCTTGAGTGACTTGCGGCCGCTTTACCTTGTTTCGCATCCATGCTGCTTTGCCCCAAGGGAGACCCGGATGCACTTCACATCCCTATCCCGTACTCTTACGCTGAGGCGATCGCGGGTGAGTACTCCTCTCAGTGGCAGACAGCCATGGACGTAGAGATGGCTTACTGGAAGTCCATAGGCACCTACGTCGATGATGTTCCTCCTCTTGGGGCGAACATGCTCGATGGCATGTGGATTTTCAGAGTGAAGCGGCCGCCGGGTTCTCCGCTTGCCTTCAAGGCACGTTACGATGCTCGAGGCTTCAGTCAAAAACAAGGGGTCGACTTCTTCCAAACCTTCTCCCCCACCCCAAAGATGACTACTCTTCGGGTGCTACTGCACGTCGCAGCACAGCGTGACTACGAGTTGCACTCCCTCGACTTCTCCACAGCTTTCTTGCAGGGCAGCCTTCACGAGGAAATCTGGCTGCGCCGCCCACCTGGCTTCACTGGGTCGATTCCTATGGGTACCCAGTGGAGCCTCCGACGGCCAGTCTACGGTCTCCGCCAGGCGCCCCGAGAGTGGCACGACACACTGAGGACTACACTTGTGGGTCTTGGGTTTGCTCCTTCCTCTACTGACTCGTGGCTACTTCTACGTACCAACACTACCCTGCCGCCGTTCTACGTTCTCGTGTACGTCGACGCATGGTGCACCAGGTCCTTTGGCGCTTCGGCTTCCCGTACTCCTCGCCACAACCCACTCCTCTGTCTACTGGCCACTCGCTCTTAGCTCCACCTTCGGACGAGTCCGTAGAGCCGAGTGATCCGTACCCAGAGCTTGCGGGTTGCCTCATGTACCTGATGACGTGCACTCGACCTGACCTCGCGTACCCTCTCAGGCGCCTAGCTCGCTACGTGGCTCCCAGTAGACACCAAAAAGTGCACTTTGATGCTGCGAAGAGGGTACTGCGTTAATTGTGCAGTACATCGGACATGGGGCTTGTGCTTGGAGGACAGGGTTCAGTGGTACTGACAGGACACTCCGACGCTTCTTAGGCCGACGACTAGGCGACTCGGCATTCATCACATGGTTACACCTTCAGTCTTGGCTCTGGTTCTGTCTTGTGGAGGTCCACTCGTTCTTCTTCCGTGCTTGGTTCCAGCTGTGAGGTCGAGATCTACGTTGGGGCCATGGCTGCACAAGAGCTATGCTGGCTGACCTACCTGATGACCGACTTGAGGGAGCGGTCTCGTTCTCCTCCAGTCCTGTACGTCGACAAAAAGGCAATGCTTGCCTTGTGTCGGGAGCAGAGACTGGAGCACAGAACGAAGCACATTGCTCTTCACTACTTTCTTGCTCGAGAGCTGCAGCAGTGTGGTCAGCTTCGTCTTTCTTACCTGGCCTCTCGGGCCAACACTGCTGAGGTCTTCACCAAGGCCCTCGGGCCTTGTGATCTTGCACCGCTCTTGAGCTTCTGCCCATTCTACCTCACTTGCTTGCCTCTTCACCTTACACTTGTTGTACACTAATATCTATATTTATACCTGCATGTTTTCTCTTGCTAGGTTGTGATCAGTGTACTGCCTTGCTATTATAACTCTGCAAGTGAACTGTCCTTGTGGTCGCTTACTTGTGCTTGGATTGTGTGGTGTCCTTGAGATCCACCCTGAGCTTTGCTTTGTTTTGCTTTGCTCTGTTGTCTTGCTTGACTGGTCTTGTGACCATCTTGTTGTCCCCCACTTAGCATATGGGGGTGTGTCAAAGTACGATCTTACTTGTAGGCTATAGTGGGGCACTCCTTATGGGGTACAACACTTCTAGTGTCAGTACTTGTACCCCAACTCTTACCTATCCAATCATTCCTGCACAGTGATTCTGACATGCACTTTTCTAAGTATCCTAGGGAAGGGTGTTGTACACGAAGGGTTGCGGTATAACCAACAAGGTCTTCAGGGTCGTCATGATTAATCAAAGTAGTGTAGCAGGAGAAGCGCTTAGGATTGGAACGTAACACTGTCACTAAGAAGTTGAATTCGATGGTAGGATGATACTGTCATTTGTATGGGAACACGAAGGAATGCGCAGGATCATAGCCATGAAAGGTACATACCCCTTTATGGCTACTCTATGTCTCAGTAACCGTATGCAGCTCAATAATCTTTCCTCTAGGTGCCTATTTCTGTACTGTGGGTAACCGTCCTCGACATTTGAATCTCTTGTTGTGGTTGTTCGGCTTGCACTGTTTCTTCAATAAAGTTACGAAGACAATCACTTACCCCATAGTAATGTTATCGCAACACAATGGTTGACAGTATTACCACAACGGATCCTAAGTCCGTTAACAGTATTACCGTACCACCGTACCAAGTGCTTTGTGGAGCTGTGTCAGTGGAGACAACTTTTGCAACTGTTGAGCAAGTAGGTAGCCTCTTGAAGGTTAGATCGATGCAGAGCTTGAAGCAGCGGCATGCGGAGAAATCACGCATCAGGAGGGACAGATGCAGCAGTTGCTGATGGGGGAAGGAGAATGCGCGTCGAGGGTAACTTGTTCCAAGGAAATCCGCTTCTGCCAAGGCAGACATAGCACATGGCACAGGGATCGAGGTTGGTAGTGTAGCAAACCTCATATCTGACGTGGAGCGGGTGGGACAACAAGTGGGCAGGCAAGACGGCGCAGCAAGGAAGCGAGCTATCACAGACTGGGCCCACTCACCCGCCACACTTGCCAAACTCGCTGGTGATTCGGCCAGCTGCAGCCTTGGACAGGCTCGTCTTACTCCACGTGCCCGTGCTCTCCTCACTCCACGGCTGCACGTTCCTGCTGCTGCCGTATGCATGCATGTACAGCGGCTTGAGCTGCACCTTGGACTTGGTGTGGCGGAGGTGCACGTCCCACAGCGAGATCTGCCCACACGGCACGTGGTTGCTGCACCGCAACTCGATGCCCCCCACGGTGCTGCCGTTGGTGGTGCCGCGAATGCGCGAGTAGGACACGTTGAACACCGCAATGCCGCTGTGCCCGTCATCACATGGCGCTCGCTCGCAGTAGTACTGGGTGAGTCAGAGCAGCAGGGGATACCAGGGGTGGTAGACGGGAGCCAGGAGGGGGTCAACGTTTGGATGGAAAAAGAGGGGTGCTTAACAAGCAGCCGCAGCATTTCGTGCCAAAGGGCACATTTCACGCTGACTCCCATTTGAGGGAGCGACGTGAGGGAGTGAAGTTCACCTGGTCGATGATAATGGGGCGACCCACGTCCACCATGGTGACGTTGTCGTAGCGGATGTTCCACACGGCGCCCTGCCCCATCTCGTATGTCTTGATGCGCAGCCCGTTCTGCAGCCCTGACATGAACACGTTCCTCACCGTCACGTTGCTCACACATGCCAGCGCACCGTAGTTCCCAAGGCTGCCGATGCTGGAGGTGGGGAGGAGAACGGGAAGGAGAGAGAAGAGAACACGGCGACAAGGACCGTTCAAGGGAGATTAGAGAAGCGCCCGTACGTGCTTCACATGATGAGGGCGTTGAGAGCGAGGATGAGGGTGATATGTTGAGGGAACGAGCAGAATAGGCGTGTGTTGAGCAAGAGAGCGACCATGAGTTGGGGTGTGAGTGTGAGCGCGAGCATGTGTGGGAGCATGAGTGATTGAGACTGTGAGTGTGAGCGTGTGTGTAAGCGTTTGTGTGGGCGCACCTGATGCCATGGCCGGCAGTGCAGACGACGTTCTGGATGAGGATGTTGGACGAGCTACCCACTATCGACACGTTGTCGTCCCCTGCACTCACACACACACATGCACCACACACAGGTCGGGGGGAGCGCTACGGCGGAAAGAGCGTGATACACCAAGTACAGACGCAAGAACTCTACTACTCTCCACCAATCGCCTTAGAACATTGCACCTCCCCATCCCCGTTTTTTCCCCACATTCCCCACTGTGGCAGCAGCAGCGGGGCCGCACTCACCGCCGTGCAGGGTGCAGTCTTCAATGAGCACGTCAGAGGAGAAGACGATGTGGATGCTGTCCGTGTTGCCGCCGTTGTACGGCGTGCGCGTCTCAAACTCATGGATCCACACGCGCTCGCAGAACCGGATGTTCAGGTGCACCTTCGCTGGGTTGCTGGGGGGTTAAGGAACGGGGGGCACAGGGAAGAGGGATGTGGAAAAACTTTTCCACTAAGATGCCTCGAAACCAAGCGATTATTAAGGCGCCTCAGAAATCGCATGAGGAGCTGAATCTCCAGATGCACCTTGCTGGGTTGCTGGAGGGGTTCATGCAATGGTGCAGGGGAAGAGGATGTGGGGAAGCAGAGCCCTCAAGGAGAATGTAAAATTCCTGTGACTCAACCCGGTCTGAATCCAAATTCACCACAACCAGATTCACCCAACCAAGCGCAGCGCAGCCTACTCACCTGATGGTGATGCCTGTGACCTCCGCATCCGTGCAGTTCTCCAGCTGCAGCAGGTAGGGCCGGCGCGCCGCACGCGGCCACACCTCGTAGCCCTGGCCGTCCATGCGCCCGGAGCCAGTCACGAGGAGGCGCGGGATGGCAAGTAGGTTAATGATGGGCGTCAGGTACGACACCCCGCGCGGGTAGCTCGATATCATGCCATCCACCTGGGCGCGTGGTGCGTGGGGAGTGTGGGGAGGGGATAGCGTGGGGAGAGGGCAGTATGTGAAACGAGTGCACGAAGAGTTGCATGGTGTGTGTGGATACGGGATCGTCCGGGATGGTCCATGTTCGTTTGGTTTAACTAGAGAGGGCATGGCATGGCATGACAGCGAGAGATGCAGGAGTTGAGCCACTGGGAAAGGAAAGCGCAGCGGACCTTGAAGACAAGTCCGCCGCTACTGCACGGCCCGCGCCACACCACGTTGCGCCCCTTCATGAAGAACGTGAAGCCCCGCGGGAACAGCAGCGTGGCCCGCCTGCCCTGCCGCCCCCCATCGTACTCGCACGCCCTTGCAAACGCACGGCTCATGGCGTCTGTGTCGTCTACCTTCCCGTCCCCCACCGCCCCGAACGCCCTCACGTTGAACACGCCCTCGGGGGAAGGGAGGATGGGCGGAGGGGGCGATGGGGGCTTTGGAGGAGGGGGGCGTGGGGGCGGGCGTGGGGGAGGGCGACGGGGAGGGGGACGGAGAGGGGGGCGGCGTGGTGGGGGGCGTGGAGGGGGAGGGGGGCGAGGGGGACGTGGAGCAGGGTGGCGGCGCTTGGGTGGGGGGGAAGGTGGGCGGGGAGGTGGGGAAGGAGGGGGGAACTTGGGTGGGCTAGGAGGGGGTCTTGGTGGGGGGAGGCGGGGTGGACTGAGGGGGGGCTTGGAGGGAGGGGGAGGCCTGGGAGGGGGTCTGAGAGGGGGTCTGGGAGAAGGTCCGGGCGGGGGTCTGGTAGGGGGGAGGACAGGAGGGGGTGGTGGAGGGGTTGAGGGAATCTGGGGCACGAGGGGGGGCGGTGGAGGAGAAGGCGAGAGGAAAGGGGACGGGGAGGAGGGAGGGAGTGAGGAACCGGGGGTGTTATTAGCTGGGCGAGGGGGAGCAGGAGTGGGAATAGGAGGAGCAGGGAGGGGTGGTGGGGGGCGGAGAGGCGGGTGGCGGCGTGTGGGGGGCTTGGAAGGCGACAAGGGGGATGGAGACGGTGTGACAAGGGGGGGAGAGGGAGGGGAGCGCGTGGAGGGAGGAGAGGGCATGAGCGGAGGAGGAAGCAAGGAAGGAGATGAGGACGGAGGCGAGAGAAAGGGGAGCGGGGATGGAGATGATGGTGGGGGAGGAAACGGGAGAGACATGGGAGGCGCAGGAAGGAACACGGGAGGGGGAGATTCTTCATTGCTGCTGCCGCTACCGTTGTCGGTGCTGCCAGTGGTGGTGGTGCTGCCATTGCCTCCACTGCTCCCTCCCTCCACGCTGCTGCCTTCCACTTCTGGCGGTACTGGCTTGGCGTTCCCCCTCGGTGGCGGGGGGCGTTGCGGTGCACGCGGAGCCACAGGCGCGGGAGGAGGGGAGCGAGGAGGCGGAGGAGGAGGAGCGGGAGGAGGGACAGGAGGGGCGGGAGGAGGGGGAGGAGGAGAATGAGGAGGGAAGAAGAGCGGGGGTCTAGGTCTCTTCCTTCCCCGCTTGCGCCTCCTGGGAGGGGGCGGGGGCGGCGGAGGGGGAGGCGCACGGGGGCGAGGCGGAGGCGGGCGGGGGGGAGCACGGGGGCGGAGAGAAGGGGAGGTAGAGCGCGAGGAGGGAGGTGGCGAGGCAATGGTTGAGCCTCCACCTGCTCCCGGCAGTGGTGGCCTCTTACGTCTTCGTGGCCTGCCTGGTGCTGCTGGTCCCCGTGCCTCCCCTGAAGGTGGTGCACCAGGTGGTGCTGCAGTGCCTGCTGGTGGTCGTGTGGGGGGCGGAACCAAAGGTGCTGGTGGAGGGGGTGGGGTTGGCTGGCGTGCCCTTGGGGGCTTCTTCCCTGTCGTCACATCTGCTCCACCTGCTGGCGGGGGCTTTCGCTTCTTGTGCTTTGCACGACCCGTCCTCTTGGCAGGAGGGGGTGGGTGCCGTGAGGAGTGGTGTCTGGGGGCGTGGCGGGGCGAGGCTGGGGACAAGTAGGGGCGGTCCCATGCGAACGGTAACGGGTCGTATGATTGCTTCGAGTCTGCTTCGGCTCTGGAGTGAGGGGCACTGGGGGGTGGCGGGGGCTTTTTAAGCAGCGCTGCTGCTCGATTGGTCGGGGGTTTAGGAGCATGAGGCTTGGGAGGATGCAGCTTGGAAGGATGGGGTTTGGGAGCAGCAGGGCTGGGAGGGCGCGAGAAGGGATGGTGTGAGGAGGAGCTGGGAGGGGGAGAGAGAGGAGAGCGAGACGTGCGGGGGCGAGGGCGGTGCAGAGAGGGTGGGGGGGAGCGGGGCCAGCGGAGGGAGTTGGTGAAGGGGGGGGGAGGGGGATATGAGGGGCAGTCGCGAGGAGGATGACACTGTGCGAAGGGTGGTGCGCGGGGAGAGAGGTGCGAGAGGCGGGTGCGTGTGTTTGCGCTTGGGGAAAGTGGCAGAGGATGGATGGTGCGTGTTGCTGGCTGAAGAAGTCACGAGAGGGTGGTGGGGAGGACGCGGTTGGGGGGAGTGGGGGGGTGGTTTATGAGTCAGAGAGGAGGTGGCGTGGTGGGTACGTGGTTGCAAGGGGTCTACAGATGCGATGGACGCAAGCCCGCTATGGGCTTCCCCTGCCCCCCCCTCACCCTTCCGCTGCTCTTGCTGCTGCTGCTGCTGCTGCTCCTGCTGCTGCTCCTGCTGCTCCAGCTGCTGCTGCTGCTGCTGCTGCTGCTGCTGCTGCTGCTGCTGCTGCTGCTGCTGCTGCTGCTGCTGCTCCTGCTGCTGGTGTTGCTGCTGCTCCTGTTGTTGTTTCTGCTGCTCCTGCTGCTCCTGGTGTTGCTTCTGCTGCTCCTGCTGCTGGTGCTGCTGCTCCTGCTCCTGCTGTTGCTGCTGCTGCTGCTCCTGTTCCTGCTGTTGTTGCTGCTGCAGCTGCAGCTGCAGCTGCAGCTGCTGCTGCTCTTCCTGTTTCTTTTTCCCACCCACCTCCTCCTCCTCCCCCTCCCCCCCCCCTCTCCTCCTCCTTCTTCTCCTCCTCCTCCTCCTCCTCCTCCTCCTCCTCCTCCTCCTCCTCCTCCTCCTCCTCCTCCTCCTCCTCCTCCTCCTCCTCCTCCTCCTCCTCCCCTCCCCCTCCTTCCCCTTCTTCCTCTTCCTCCTGCCTTTCCCCACCACCCACCCCCTCCCCCTCCCCCTCCTGCATCTGCAGCTCCCACAGTACAACACCCCCGCTTTGCTCCTCCTGCTCCTCCTGATGTAGCTTTGGCAGCTGCAGCGGCAGCAGCAGCAGTGGTGGCCGCCGTGCCATTGGCGGGAGAAGAGGCAGCGGGGGATGCAAGTGCATGTGGTGCGGAACCAGCTGCGCCTCACCACTTCCCCGCCCCTCCGCCAACCTCCCCCCCTCCATGGCTTCCCGGCGAGCTACTGAGGACGAGGGCAGTTGGTGTGAGGGCAGGGGGATGACGCTGAGAGGGAGGAGGCCCCATGGGAGGGATGAACGAACCAGGGTGTTTGGAAGAGCTAGGGGAAAGGGGGAGGAGAGGGGATTGGATGAGACAGACGGGAAGAAGGGCGAGGGGCACGTGGGCATGGCGTAGAGTGTGCTAGTGGGTGTGTGGCCGGGGAGGGAGGGTAGAGATGGGAGAGCGGGTGCTGCAAAGGGGGGGCGAGTGGAGGGCGGAGGGTGGGAGTGGAATGCACAGTCGAGGTTGTGTGGCTGGAGGGAGCGTGCTACGACCATGAGGGAGTCACGAGGTGCAGGTGGGGATGGGGCAAGAGGTGCGGGCGGGGGGTAGAGCAGAGGGAGGGCATGTGTGTGTGGTTGGGCATGGAGAGCGACCAGAGTGGTAGTTTCAGACTGCAAGGCATTGTGCTTGGGAGTGGGCGAGGAGGAGGAGAGGTGGCGAAGGGGAGACACGGTTGTGGTGGTGGCAGTGGTGGTGGTGGTGGTGGTGGTGGTGGTGGTGGTACTGTGCGTGCAGTCAGGGAGAAGGGTGTGTGTGCAGTGGGGCGGGTGGAAGAAGCAGTGGGGGTGGGGCAGGCAGGGCGAGAGGGACAAGGGGCCATGGCCGTGCCAGGCACAGGCGTCGAGAGTGCAGGGATCGTTGTCGTCACATGGTTCTGGTGGAAGGGATGGCGGAGGGATGGAGGGGCGGAGGGACGGAGGGACGGAGGGATGGGGGGATGGGGGGACGGAGGGACGGAGGGATGGGACATGAAATGAGATGGGAGACTTTGAAAGTTTCAGGTTTATGGGGTAAAGGACGAGGTCGGAAGCTTCGGGCTAAGGAGCATGCAGCTAGCAGTCAGGCTGGGGGAGGAGGGCAGCTACCTGAAAAGGCGGCAACCACAGCGCAGGAGGCGTTCAAGAGGAAACGACAGGATCCAGAGAGGTGCAGTGCGGTGCCATGTGGTGCCCAGGAGTCGTCTGAGGTGAGCGTGCTGGGAGGATGGGCGAGGGAGGGTGAGAGAAGAGAGAGGACGGCAGAGCAGAGTGCACAGATAGGGTGTCATTCATTGCTTCGCGGGCGGAGCAGGCGCATTATAAGCTGTTCAGGACACACGGGTCACGGGATGCGGAGGAGACTCAGAACCAAAAGACAACACTTCCGGGCCTCCATTGGAGAATACTACAGGATTCGATCTAAGACCATCCCCTTGTCCGGCGATACCTATCCACTTCGTACCTGCTTGGTTTGTACGGCTCGTGTGAGAAGGTGCCTTTTTCCCTGTCGAACCTGCACACCGCCCTGCTACCCTCCGCCGGCTCCGCTGGGGCAAAGACAAGGGGAAGGGGGAAGGGGGAAAGGGGAAGCAGGAAGGGGGCAGGGGGAAGGGGGTAGGGGTGAGGGGGTGAAGTGCGTGGGGAAGGGGAAGGGATGGGGTACAGAACGCACAGGAGATCGTCGGCGCGGAAGTGAGGCGGAACGCGCTACGATAATAAACAGCGCGATCCGCGTACGCGCGATACAATTGTTCCTGGGGGAAAGCAGTACGGGCTGCTTGTCGTTTTCGGAATCAGCGGGCCATCATCTAAGCAGGGTAGCACGAAGGCGATTGAAAGGGCGATGATGACGCAGCCTCGGATTGCATAGTCGAACGAAACGCTGCCTCCGCTTACCCACACCGTGGTCTGACCGCGGATCGTCCACGCCGGCGGATATGACCGCGCGCTCGGCGCCGCTGTCGGCGGCGGGTGGATCTGATGGAAACGCCAAAGCATCGTTTCTTGCGAAATGATTGAGGAGTAGCAGGAGGAGAGGGAAGGGTAGTTGCGCGGATGAACTGATGCGTATCATCGCTAAGGCCGCATCGGGGATAAAAAGTGCTGCCTGCTCGATGCTCGCTCAAAGAGAGTTAAGGAAAGCGAGCACTAACGCACCAAGGAAGACACTCAATACTTAAAGCCGCGAAGGTTGGTGGTCTAGATCTAAAGCACACGTCTGGCGTTGGAATATGGGAGAGTGAAATAGTGTTCTCAAGGTTGGCAAATCTGTTCGTCTTGCTTTCGTGGTCGAATGCAGTCGTTCCTGATTGCAAGTAGCGACTGCTTACGCCTGAACTGATTCCTCTCAAAGGAAATTACTGAGGGAACTGCTATCGGATGACGGTCGGTGGACTTTCACACTCAGATTTGCTTATTTTACAACCGTGGGGCAGGCATGTGAGACTTACGCCGCCATGGACACTGACTGGGTCACTCGACCCCGCCACCATTTACACCGACCAAGCCCAGCGGTAGTCATTTGGGTAAAGCCGCGAGATTAGGAGAGCCAATGAATCTTGCTGGCACTGCGCGCTAGTTGCATCGAGCATACTTGTACGCCGTCGATCTGCAGCAGATGCACTTCAAGGCAAGATCGAGGATGACAGGGTGGCGGAATCAGAAGCGCGGTTCGACGCTGCTTCCTTGTAGGCTTGCGCTTCGGCAGTCTTGCTTCTGACTGGCTCGATTCGTTGCCATTCAAATTGTAGGCTCGAGACCGAACCGGCCGCTCAGGTTGGGTCTGTTGCCAGACCCATTTTTCGTAAGGGAACACTTTTGTTCAGTGCGACTGTATACATTTCGCATAATGTTTATGTAAGGGCTGATTATTCCTTTGACAGCGCAATTTGCAGCACTTCATGAGGTTCCGTCTTTGCGGGTCCCCACTCAAACCCAGTGGCGATGGCGGTGGATGTTGGTGGCCTTTCCCCTTGGGAATATCTGGCGGACGAGGTGTGCCACCTTGCGCAAGATCTGCGCGCGTTTCCGCAAGTTCACCCACCGTTGCCCTTGCGTGCGATGAATCCGCCCACCGCGAAACGTCGCTTCAGCTTCGCACGCCCGAACTTGCGATTTCCGAACCTCCGCAACAGTGATTTGATGGAGGGGTTTGCCACGTGGCATGGGGATTCCGCCAAACGGAATCTCCCCACCGCAACCTCCCCCAACCGCTTATCCTACCCCACAGCCTGGCCGTGGCGCGCTGCACGCCAGGTCAGGTGGTGGCGGAACGAGCGGAGAAGAAGAGGCAGCGATGAGCGCAAGTCTTATCGCTTTCGTAGAGTCGTTGGCTAGGGTTTGGTCGCGTTAATTGCTCTTGTAAGGCGTCCATGTCTGTCCGCGACCTGCGCTGAGGGTTCGGCTATTAGTCACCTTCCTGTGGGATCTCTTCGCGTTTCGGCAAAGTCGCGAAGTTTCTTGATGACGAGTGACGTATGATCGCATATTGCTCGGATCGCTAAGGGGACCACTTTAATCGGAGATGTTGGAGGGTAAGCACACCCTCTTGGTTGCCCATCGTGGAACTGGGATGTGAAGTCTCTACTTACCATCGACTAAGCGGCTTCTTACATTCGACCGGCACGATCGTCGGGTATTTTTGCAAGGGAGTGCACCGCAACTTATCGACCACTCCGAGGACTTGGAAACCGCAGTGGGCTACTGTGCGGGGCACTGTCTTCCGGAGTGTAGATTAAAGACTCGGGTTGGTGTGCCAACATCGCTCGTCAGTGGAGTCCTAATCTTGGGAAAGTGACGTTGCGGGTTAATCATCAAGCGTTTCTTTCGGTTGCTTGTGAATACACGGGTGCTGAGTCGCACGGGGGACGATGGACATTGACGGCGAGGGGAAGGCTCCGCGGGGGAGGTACTTGGCGCGCTCCCCCGTGCGCGCGCCGTCCATGGCTGGCGCGCGATCTCGTCCCGCGGATCTATCGGCGAATGCGGTTCCGGGTCGCAGTGCAAGAGAAGGCGCAGGCTCAAGGGGGTTGCAGTATGCGGCGGAGAAGGAGCATGAAGATGAGGAGGAGGAGGACGAGGAGGAGGACGAAGACGCGGAGGGGGAAGACGAGGAGGGGGACGGGGAGGGGGAGGCGGACGGTGAGGAGGACGAGGATGAGGATATGGTGGAGGGGGAGGCAGATGGGGGGGACGAGGATGAGGGGGGAGAGGATGAGGAGGTGGGAGGGGACGGAGGTGAAGGCGAGGAGGAGGAGGAGGAGGTGGAGGGGGACGAGGTCGAGGAGGAAGAGGAGGAGAGGGAGGAGGCGGGTGCGGAGGGACGAGAAGGCGTGGGCGGAGCTGACGAAGAACAAGAAATTGAAGACGAAGCGGACGACGAGGAAGGCGAAGAGCCGGAGGAGGAGGAGGTCGAGGAGGAAGTGGAGGAGGAAGAAGAAGAGGAGGACGTGGATGAGGAGGGGGTCGAAGGTGCGGCGGTCGCAGGTCGCGCGGGGAGCGAGGGCGGGGCGGACGAGCAGGCATCTGAAGACATAGACGAGGACGAAGACGTTGACGGAAATCAAGACGGAGACGAGGACGAGGAGGAAGGCGGGCGCGGGCGGGAGCACGCGCAAGGCGCGCGTCCGCGGGCGCAAGCGCACCCGGCGCACGGCAAGAAGCTGCTGGTCGCGGGCGTGGCGCGGCGCGGCAACAAGCTCGTGATCTCCCGTCCGGGCATCACCAGAGAGGCGGATCGGCGGGAAGGGGACGCGCAAGGGGCTAGTATGGCGGTCGAAGGGAGAGGGAGCGGGAGGTCTGGGGAGTATGGTAGCGGGGAAGAGTCGGGGGATGGGTCAAGCGGTGACGAGTTGGCGGAAGAGTTGGCGGAAGAGGAGGACGAGACAGATCTGGGCGGCGGACTGGGCGCGGTCGCCGTTGGGCGCGCGGTTGGTGGCAGGGCGGACGAGCAGGAGGGGGGACTTGATGGGGAGGAGGAAGACGAAGAGGAGGAGGAAGAAGAGGAGGAGGAAGAGGAAGAAGAGGAGGACGAGGAGGAGGAAGAAGAGGAGGAGGAGCTAGAGGGGTTTGGGGTTGCGGATGGAGAGGGAGAGGCATCAGAAAATGCGAAGCTTTTGTCTCAAGTGCTAGCAGGCGAAGATGTGGACGTTGGGGTTGCGGAGGATGAGGACGGGGGGGACTCCGGGGCGGGCGTAGGTGACAGTGACGACTCGGAAGAGGAGGAACAGGAGCAAGGGGACGGCGAGGCGGAGGAGATCGACGCAGAACAAGAGGGCGATGTAGAAGGGGAGGAGGAGGGGGAGGAAGAGGAGGAGGCGGAAGAGGAGGAGGAGGATGAGGAGGAGGGGGAGGGGGAGAAGGAAACGAAAGAGGGGGATGAGGAGGAGGAGGAGGAGGAGGAGGAGGAGGAGGAGGAGGAGGAGGAGGAGGAGGAGGAGGAGGAGGAGGAGGAGGAGGAGGAGGAGGAGGAGGAGGAGGAGGAGGAGGTGCAAGAGGGCGTGCCACCGCCGTTGAAGGCGGCAGAGCTGGAGCACATGCCGCTCAAGGAGTTACGGGTCAGTGCAACACGCCGCGCGCTGCTCCTTCCTCCCTTGCCGTGCCTACCATAGGCAGGGCTCCTCCTTTCGGTTGTAATGCCTAGGTAGCTTGTTGCTTGTCATTTCGGTTGCTTGATTTTTCGTGAACCTCCTCCGTTCATCCCTCTGTCGGTATTTCTCTCCGTCTGTTGCTGCCCCTTCTCCCGTGCAGCAACTGTACACGAGCCGGCTGGGCGAAGTGACGACGAGCAACAACAGCACATGGCTGCGAAGGAAGCTGCTCGGCATGTGCGGTGAGTACCGCCACCACCCACCCGCCACCACCACTACTCTTGCTCTTCCTTCACGCCTTTGGCCTGTTCAAATCGGCACAACTGTCCATACCTGCTCGTCTCTGCTTTGCTGCACCTGCTCTGCTTCGCTCCGCTGTCCCCCAATCCCTGTCCGCTCAACGTGCGCATGTCCGTGTGCAGCAACGGTGCGGTCCAAGGGAAGCTCGCCTACCAAGCCCGGCAAGCCAGCGTAAGTCGCCACTCATACTCCCGCACATGCCCTTAGCGTTCGTTCATCTGCTGGAATCAACTGGCTTTCGATTGCCAGGCTTGTAATGCAACTGCACGTTTTCGTGTGGCCATGTTTCCCAAGCCAAGCCATGCCTTCTTGCTACTGTGTCCTTTCAAAACGATCCAATTTTATGCCCCTTCCTCCAACTCCCCACCTCTTTTCCTTTTCCTCAGCAGGTCGTCTCCCCCAGCGCCATCACCGCAGCTGTCATCGCGCGCCCACAGCAAGCGCTCGTCCCTGCCACCAAAGAAGTTCCGATCCGATGTCATCATGCTGCCGCTCTCCCAGTCCCCCACCGCCTCGCCCTCCCCCGCTGCGCACCGCAAACTGCTCCTCCTCCCGCCCCGCCCCCCCACTTTTAATGACGGCGACGGTGCTTCGGCTGCCGAGCCTGGGCAGCAGGGTCGGCAGCTTCCGTCCGCGCCGCAGGGGTCGAAGCGGAGGCGCGGGGTAAGGCTGGCAGGGGGCGGGAGCAGAGCGCACGGAGGAGGTGGAAAGGGGAGGCCGGATGGAGAGGAGGAAGCGAGGGGCAGAGAGAGGAGGGGAGATGGGGAGGCGGAGGGGGAGGAAGAGGCTTTGCTGATCCCATCGGAAGTGCCTGCAGCAGCGTACAGGCAGGGGATGCTTGTGTGGGCGAAGCTGCTGCCGGGACTGCCTTGGTGGCCGGGCCTGGTCCGCAAAGTGCATGCTCAGGCGCATAAAGACGAGGCGGAGGAGGGGAGAAAGGCGGCTGGTGAAGGGGACTCACACGAGGGTTCTCTGACGGTGGTGCTTGTGGGGGGAAAGGGCGAGGGGTGCGATGGTGATGGTGGTAGCACGGAGGAGGATGAGGTGGAGGTGAAGAGTGAAGGTCTTAAGAAACGGGATGGTGAGAGGGCGAAAGTGAAGGACGAGCGAGAGGAAGGGAAGGGAGAGCAGACTGGCATAGAGGCGGCAGCGGCGGCAGGAGAACAAGGCACAGCAACGTTACAGGGGCGCATTGGCAAGAGGTCAGTTGCCTGTGCTGCAGCATACGCTCTCCAAAGCTGCTGCGTATGCCTCTCTCCACATACCCCACATGCTTCGTCTTTGTAATTGTCTTTGCTATACCCAACCCTGTCCCCACTGCACTGCCTTTGTCATTTCCAACTTTCTCTTCCTTTTCTCTGCAGGGCCACCATCGCAAGCGTGCTTGTCCTTCCCTTCGCTCCGCTTCGCACTCAGCTAGGGCGGCAGGTAAGCTGCGTGCGTGCACGTGTCTTCCCTCTGCAGCCTGTGCACCTCCGCCTGGCACTCTACTTTACTTTGCCTACCCCACACGCATGCACAGAAGCATTCAGCTAGCATCTGTGTGTAAACCTTCTTCTCCCCCCCCCCGCTCCAGTGATTTTTGAGGCGCCTCAAAAATCATCTGTGTGTAAACCTTCTTCTCCCCCTCCCCGCTCCAGTGTTGCTTTTCCATCCCCGTTCTTTTCCCCTTACCCTTTCCTTTCCCTTTCCCTTCCCCATCCCCCCTGCGCCACATCACCCACATCCCCACCCCTCTCCAGCGCATGCCATGTGCGCCCAACCTGCGCTCTCTCTTCCGTGCAGCCCTCGCATGGGCGGACGCGCATGCACAGCAGCACCCCGACACAGATGGAACAAGCCTGGCAGCGCTCGTGGGAGCGCCAGGGCCGGCGCACAGGAGTGGTGGTGCGAGGCTGGGGGAGGAGGAGGTGGTGGTGCCGGTGAAAGGGGCACACGGGGCCTCGTGGAGGGCGAGGAGACGCGATGGGAAAAGGGTATGTGTTGCAGTGGTGCTGAGTTGAGTTGAGGTTAAAGGCGTGTGGTGGGATGAGGGTAGGGGTTTGGGAGGCTGTTATAGATTGGAGTTTTCTTTCAGTCTGGGGGCTTTAAAGAAAGGCGAGGGGCCGTAAGACGTAGGGGAGTTTTTTGGGGGTGGTAGTGGGTTCTGGAAACCCGTCAAGTCCTTGCTGTGCGTGGTTGTGGTGTGTCGTTCATGTTGTAACTGTGTCTTATGCGTCTCACTCGTTGTGGTTATTCCCCCCTCTGTATCCTGTCTCCCCAACAACGTGCAGGAGTACACAGAGTGTTTCAAGTGCAATGCACCGCTCTGCACCGCATCACCGTCCGCTGCTGCAGACACAAAATCTGTGAAGCGCGAGAGCAGGGAGGGAGGCGGTGGTGCTGGTGCTGATGGTGACAACTCTTCCCTACACTGTGTGTGGTGCCCTCGTGTGTACCACACTGGCTGTGCTGATGCGCCCAAGGAGAAGGCGAGGCCTCAATGGCAGTGCAATAAGTGTAGGACAGCGGCAGCGGAGAGGCTAGCACGAGCTGCTGTTGCTGCGGCTGGTAAGGGTGCATTGGAGCGGGAGGACGGGAAGCGGGAAGGGAGAGGGAGGGAGGAGCATGACAGGGAGAAGGGGAGGGAGTGGGGAAGGCAGGAACGGAGGGAGCGGGGGGATGAGGAGAGAGGGAGCGAGCAGGGTGTGAGAGGGAGTAAGAGGGGTTGGCAGCAGCAGCAGCTGCACGGGCATCCGCTGTCTAATCCAAGAACATTCAAGCGTCGCAGGGTGAGCGACCTTCCACACCCCACCTCCTCCTCTCCCCCGTCCGCCTCCCTCGCGGCTGCCCGTCGGGCAGGTGCAGGCCCAGGGCAGGCAGATCCGAACAGACAGACATTCCTGGGGAGCATGAGGGAGAGGCGCAAGGCCCCCCGCATGAGTTGGTCCAGTCTGGCGGAGTCTGATGATAGTGACCAGGAGGAGAGGCCGGGTGGGGGGAAAGCGGAGGAGGCGGAGCAGCAGGAGGAGGAGGAGGACGAGGAGTGTGTGCGGTTGGATGAAGATGATGGGGGTGGAGAGGAGGACGAGGAGGGAGCAGAGGTTGTGGTGGCCTCAGATGACAGTGCAGAGGAGGGGGGTGGAGTGTGGGGGCGGTCAGGGCTTGATTTGGAATTTTCGAGGGACAAGGCGGGGAGGAAGGGGGCCGTGGGTGGGGGGAAGGCGGCTGGTGCAGGGCAGAAGGTGTCAGGGGGAGGCAGGATGGCGGCGGTGGGCGGTGGGCGGATGGAGAGGCGGATTGAGAGCTTGGTGGGGGGGCTGGCGGATGGGGGGAAGGGCCGGGTTGATGCGGCGGAGGATGAGGAGGCGTCATGGGTGTGTGCGGTGTGTGGCGATGCCGGGTACCTTCTCTGCTGCGACCTCTGCCCTCGCCTCTACCATCTCTTCTGCCTCACCCCGCCCCTCAAGGTACCCTCCCTCCTTCCCCCGATCTTCTCCACCTCCCCTCCGCTCACCATGCTTCTGCCTGTTCTTCTCCCCTTTCCCCCTCGTCCTTCTTTGTTGCCGTCACAACCCCTCCCCCCCCCCCCCCCCTTCCCCCATCTTTGTTTCCATCTTTATCTTCGTAGTGGTCTCGTCGTTGCAACAGTCAAACGGCTCTTTTCCATCTCTATCCCTCACCTCACGTGCCATCACTCCTCTCTCCTCTTCCCAACCACCCTTTTCCCCTCCCCCTTCCCCCCATCTTTCCTGCCCCCGCATCCCTTACTCTTACCCGTTCCCCGCACACCAGAAAGCACCCAAGGGAGCATGGATCTGCCCAGTGTGTACAGAGGCCTCCACTCTCGAGGTACCCTCTCAACTCACACAACCAGCCACCTATCCCACCTAGAATCAAATGCAGTGTTGTTACAAGCACCTGTGACTTTTACAATACGTTCTTTTCACCTTGGGACTCGAGGACAATTCACCCCTGAACCATGATCGCAACTCTCGATTCTGTCGCTCCCGCAGCCTCCTCCGCCCGCCCGCCACCAACTCTTGTTTTTTCTCTCCCCCTCCTCTGTGCTCCCCCCCTTCCTGTACGGCCCTTGTCCCAGATCGAGCGCATATTCGGGTGCAGGATTCGGGGCAAGCAAGAGGCTGGCGCTGTCAAGAAGGCGGGGGAGGTGGAGGGGAGCGACGAGGAGGGCAAGGGAGGGGGGAAAGAGGAGAAACGGCGCCTCCTTACTGGTGCTGCGGAGGATGTAGGGGCGACGGACATGGAGGAGCAGGAGGAAAGGGAGGAGGTGGATGTGGTGACGGTTGGTGACGCTGATGAAGATGCTGGTGCTGATGCTGATGGGCATGCGGCAGAGATTGCACGGGTGAGAGCTAAGGCAGCAGCGAGTGGGAGTGCTGTAACTGATGGAGATGCCACTGCTGGGCCTGATTCTGGTTTGGCAGGGCGGGATATGAAGAAAGCAGGGAAAGAAGAGGGGGGGAAGGAGGATGGAGGAGCAGCAGGTGACGGGGGAGAGGGGACGAGTGCGCGGACGAGAGGCAATGCGGGGAGGGGGTTGAATGGGGAGACAGGGGCGAGAATGGCTCGTGTTGGGGGCAGTGGTGCTCGTGCCACGTGGATGGATGGTCGTGGGGAGAGCCATGGGAAGGATGAGAGGGAGCAAGGGAAGGAGAAGGCGGAGAATGAGGAGGAGAAGGTGGGGAAGGAGAAGGGTGAGAAGGAGAAGAGTGATGAGAAAGTAATGGTGGATGCTGGTGGGAAAGAAGGAGGCAAGGAGGGGAGTGGGGCTAAAGAGGGAGGGGAGGGGGAGAGAAAGGCAAAGGAAACAGATGGCAAAGAGAAGAAGGATGAGAAGGGAGGCAAGGAGTTGGCGAAGGCAGGAGAGACAAGCAGCAAGGACGGCGAGAAGGCTTCTGGCAAAAGCAAAGACGGGGACCAGAAGCAGCAGAAGAGCGGCGAGAAGGAGAAGGGGAAGGAGAAGGAGGAGGGAGAGGACGAGGAGGAAGAGGAGGAGGAGGAGGCTGTGGTGGAGTATCTAGTGAAGTGGGCGGGGAAGGCGCATGTGCACAACACGTGGCTGTCGGAGGAGCAGGTAGCAGCGCTGAACCAGCGCAAGCTGGACAACTACCGGCAGCGCCACGGGCGCATGCCTTTGTCTCTCATGGAGGAGCAGTGGAACCACCCCCACCGCATCATCGCCCACCGCTTCCTCTCCCGCCCGCGCCTGCCGTCCAAAGCCAAAGGCGGGGGCCGGGCAGGCGCGAGCGCGGCACGCGGAGGGAAAGGGGCGCAGCAGCAGCAGCAGAGGCAGCAGCGGGAGGTGCTGGTGAAGTGGTGCGGACTACCATACGATGCATGCACGTGGGAGGACGTGAACAGCCCTGCCATGGTCGCCAACCCCAAGGTCCTCCAAGCCTACGAGACCTTCGACCGCATGGCCAGGGCCCCAGCACCCGCCCCTGTCCCGCGCAAGCCCTCAGCCGTGCCCGACCTGAAGGAGCAGCCGAGTAACCTGGCAGGGAAGCTGTTCCCGCATCAGCTGGAGGCGATCAACTGGCTGCGCCGCTCCTGGGCGCGGCGCAGGAATGTGATTCTGGCGGACGAGATGGGGCTGGGGAAGACCATATCAGCCGCGTCGTACCTGTCGTGTGTGAAGACAGAGCTCAAGGTGCCCGGGCCGTGCCTGGTGCTGGTACCGCTCTCCACCATGCCCAACTGGTCTGCAGAGTTTGCCATGTGGGCGCCGCACCTGAACCTCGTGGAGTACCACGGCAGCGCCAAGGCGCGTGGGGTTATCCGTGACTTTGAATTCTTTGCTTCCGGGGATGCGGGTGGGGAGAAGTTGAGGGCAGGGGGGGCGGGGAACCGACGGTACCGGTTCCACGTGATGCTGACAACGTTTGAGATGGTTCTGGCAGATACGTCCGTGCTGCGCGCAATCCCCTGGGAGGTGCTTGTAGTGGACGAGGGGCACAGACTGAAGAACAACGAGAGCAAGCTGTTCACGCTGCTCAATACCTTCTCCTTCAACCACCGCGTGCTGCTGACAGGCACGCCGCTGCAGAACAACGTGGGCGAGATGTACAACCTCCTCTCCTTCCTCCACCCCTCCGACTTCCCGTCGCTGTCGGCGTTTAAAGAGAGGTTTGCGGCGATGGACGCGGCGGGGCAGGTGGCAGAAGTGCAGCGCATGGTGGCGCCGCACATGCTGAGGCGGCTCAAGCGCGAGACCATGAAGCACATCCCGCCCAAGGAGGAGAGGGTTGTGCCTGTGGAGCTCTCCGTTGTGCAGGTGCGGGGTGGGGGAGGGAGGAAGGAGGGTGGATACTGGGTGGGTGGGTGGTGGGAGGAAGGGATGGGGGGTTGAGTGGGGGAAGAGAAGGGGCACTGGGATGGGTGCTCGTGGGGATGTAAGTATGGAGTTGTGATTGTGCGTTTTGCTGTTTCTGCTTGTCTCCTATCATGGTCTTATAATCATAAACTTATGTTCCTTATGTTCCTTTTATGATGTATGGCGTGGTTCTTTTGCATCCCTGCACTGATGCATGCCCACTGTGCACCATGTGCTGCGTGTGTGTGTGTGTGTGTGTGTGTGTGTGTGTGTGTGTGTGTGTGTGTGTGTGTGTGTGTGTGTGTCTGTGCGTGTGTGTGTGCGTGCGTGTGCATGCGGGGGAGAGCAGGCGGAGTACTACCGGGCGCTGCTGACGAAGAACTACCAGGTGTTGCGCACGGGCAAGGGCGGCCACCAGTCCATGCTCAACATTGTCATGCAGCTGCGCAAGGTGCGTCACTGCCCCACCCACTTGCGGAAACGCTACAGCAGCGTTGCTACAGCCATGCCCATGGGGGCTACCGAAATGGGTTCCACAGCCATGGCCACTACAATTGTGTGTGGGAAGGACGATATACGCTGGTAGTTTGTTGCTATGCTCATACAAGCCAATCGTCTCCTTCCATTGCGCACCCTAGCTACCCAAACGTTTCTCTCCCACCTGTCCTTTCTCCCCCCACCTTCATCACCTCCATCCTCCCTGCCCCTCTACCCCCATCCCGCGCTCCCCCTTTCTCCCCCGGCTCTCCCCGTCCCACCAGGTGTGCAACCACCCGTACCTCATCCCAGGCACGGAGCCCGTGGTGGGCAGCATGGAGTCGCTGCAGGCAGCGCGCGTGGCAGCGTCAGGCAAGCTGCAGCTGCTGGACCGCATGCTGGAGCGCCTGAGAGCGGCGGGGCACCGCGTGCTCATCTTCTCGCAGATGACGCGCCTGCTGGACATTCTCGAGGAGTACCTGGCTGTGAAGTTTGGCCCCAGGACGTATGAGAGGGTGGATGGGAGCGTGGGCGTGGCGGAACGGCAGGTGGCCATTGCACGGTTTAATAAGGTGCGTGGGGTGTGGTGGGTTGGGGTGGGGTTGGGTTTGGGTGGGGTGGGGTGGGGTGGGGTGGGTGGGGTGGGGTGGGTGGGATGGGATGGGATGGGATGGGATGGGATGGGATGGGATGGGATGGGATGGAATGGGATGGGATGGGATGGGATGGGATGGGATGGGATGGGATGGGATGGAATGGGATGGGATGGGATGGGATGGGATGGGATGGGATGGAATGGGATGGGATGGGATGGAATGGGATGGGATGGGATGGGATGGGATGGGATGGGATGGAATGGGATGGGATGGGATGGGATGGGATGGGATGGAAGCTGCCAGTGTTTGTCATGATCGCGTCAACCTCCCAGTTGTCCAAAATCGTTATCACCCTTTTGTGTGCTGTCCTTCTCTTCCTCGTCTGCTCCATCCTTTCATCTCCCCTGCACCCACCCCATTCATTTTCCTCTCTCCACCCCGCCCTCTCCCCTCTCACTTCCCCCCTGCCCCATCTCCCCCGTTCGCTTTCTCCCCTCCCCCCACTCAACCACCCGCGCTTTCCCCTCTCCCCCCATCCGCGCACTCCCATGAGCAGGACATGTCGCGGTTTGTGTTTCTGCTGTCAACGCGCGCGTGTGGGCTGGGCATCAACCTGGCCACTGCAGACACGGTCATTATCTACGACTCTGACTTCAACCCCCACGCTGACATCCAGGTGCGTGCATTTCCCGCAAGCTAGCTTGCTTGGCCCGCCCGCAGGCTTGGATGGGGGGTGGAGGGTGGGGGGCGTGGGGTCGGGGATGTGGGGTGGGGTGTGGGGGAAGGGGGGACATGTGTTGTGTTCTGGGGGGGATTTGGGTGGAGGGGTGTCACTCGCCCGTGTGGGGCTTCATTGGGGGCATTGAGATGAGGGAGGTGTTGACACTCTTCTCCCCACCTCTCAACATTGCACAGCCATTCAGCAGCCCTCAACCTGCCATTGAGATCCGCCCTCCACACTCCCCTACCTTTCTCCCAATTTCCCTCTCTCCACACCCGTTCTCCGTTCTTCCCATCTCTCCTCCCCTGCCCCCCTCTCCTTTTTTCTTCTCCCCTCTCCTCTCCCCCATCTCCCCCCTCCCCCTCCTCCCACTCCCCACCCCCCGCCACCGCCAGGCCATGAACCGAGCGCACCGCATAGGGCAGTCGAAGCGGCTGCTGGTATACCGTCTGGTGGTGCGCGCGAGCGTGGAGGAGCGCATCCTACAGCTGGCCAAGCGCAAGCTGCTCCTCGACCACCTCCTCTCCGCCTCCAACCCCGGTGGCGCCGCCGGCGGCGCTGCTGCTGCCGGTGGTGCGAGCAAGTCGGGCAACGCTGGGAACGTGAAAGAGTTGCAGGATATTTTGAGATGGGGCGCGGATGAGCTTTTTGAGGAAGATGCTAAGGTGGATGTGGAGGGCGGGGAGGAGAGGGCGAAGGGGGAAGGAGGGGAGGGGAAGGGGAAGGGCGAGGGAGCGGGGAAAGATGGGGTGAAAGAGGGTGGGGAGAAGGATGAGGGGAAGGAGGAGGATGGGGAGGGGGGCGAGGGGCAGGTGAGGAGGAGCAGGCGAGTGTTGGGGCAGAGTGAGAAGGGGAAGGGCGATGGGGAGGCAGAGATGACTCCTCTTGCGTCCGCTGCTGCTGCTGCCGCCGCCGCCGCTGCTGCCGCTGTTGCTGCAGCTGCTGCCGGGGAGGCGGGAGGGGGCGCAGGAGGCAAGGAGGAGAAAGCAGGGGAGGAGAAGGGCAAGGAGGGGGACAGTGATGAGGTGGAGGAGGTGAAGGGAGAAGGGGACGCGACAACTGACGCCAGTGCAGCAGCAGCAGAGGCAGTGGCGGCAGCAGGAGGAGGGACGTTCGATATGGGCGAGCACAAGAAGGGGCGCAAGGACCGGAGCAGTTTGGGCAACGTGTATGGTGACACGTGTCATGAGGGCGGGCGGCGCAAGCTGCAGTGGGACGAGTCGGCGATCTCAAGGCTGCTGTGCCGTACGGTGGCAGAGGGGGCGCATGGGGAGGAGGAGGCTGGGGAGCCACTGCTGGGGTCCATCAAGGTGGGGCTTCTGACTTTCCTGGTTGACTTATGTTGACTTGGCTGATTCGATTGGCGTTGCTGGCTCTCATGCTGTTGTTGATTCGACTATGCTGACTAGGCTCAAGACTTGCCTTTCCCTGGCTCCTCCCCATATTTCCCCCCCCCCTCCCCCCCTCTCTCCCTCCCCCTTCCCCCGCCCCCCCCCCGCCCCCTTTTTTTTTTTTTTTTTTTCCCCTTTTTTCCGTGGGATGTGATGTGAACAGGCGTGGGCATTTGAGGAGGCGGATGAGGAGGTGGAGGAGGAAGGGGGTGAGGAGGAGGGGGTGGTGGAGGTGGAGGGGGAGGAGGGGGGGGAAGAGGCGGTGGCAGCGGCAGCGGCAGCGGGGAAGAAGGGCAAGGGGCACAAGGAGCACAAGGACGACAAGGAAGACGCGTCTGGCGAATGGGAGAGGTTGCTCAAGAACCGGTATGTGTGATTCAGGGCTTAGGGCAGGCGAGGCCATGGGATGGGATGGGTTGGGGAGGGAATGGCATGCTATGGGATGGCATGGCATGGCCTGGGATACTATGTGGTGTCATTGCCATGTAATGGATTGCAGTGGGATAGCATGCGGTGGGAGTGGGAAGACGGCCCTTGACACTCGTCAAGGATGTAGTGTGCTGTAAAATTCTTGTCCGTTGCACCACACGCTCCTCCTCTTTCCTCGCCCACTCCACTCTCCTTGCCCCCCCTCCGGTCTCGTTGTCCTGCGTTTTCCCTGCACGTTCGCTCCACCCACCCCTCCACCCATCCTCGTCATGCCCATGCTCCGCATCCAAGGTGACTTTTGAGTCGACTCAAAAGTCACCTCATGCCCCGCATCCCCTCTCCCCGTCTCAACCCCTGCCTAATTTCTTCTCCCCCCACCTCCTGCCCTCTCCCCCCTCTTTCCTTCCACCCACTCTTTCCCTCCCCGTGGCAGGTGGGAGCAGATGCAGGTGGAGACGAGTGCGCTGCTGGGGCGGGGCAAGCGCACGCGGCGGCCGGTGTCGTACAACGAGCAGGGCATTGTGGCCGCCATGGCTGCTGCTGATGCTGCTGCTCTCGCTGCTGCCGCTGCCGCCTCCAAGGTCAGCCTTGCATGCACATGGACGCTCACACGACGCATGGCCACACGCACACGTGGGAAAGCACTCGCGCACAGTCATGTGCATACGCACATGCATCCACCCGCCCACACACACACACAGTCATGCACACACACACACGCACGCACGCACGCACGCACGCGCATACACACACACACCAATGTATGCGCACTTGCATATTGCATGCCATCTTCTTTTCTGCATCCCCCCTTTCTCAATTAGCCTCCCTCGCTCTACCACCCTCCCTGATCTTACCTCCTGCGGTCCCTCTCTCCCTCGCTCTTAATCCGCCCACCCTTCCGCCTCACTCTCATTCTCTTCCGCATTTGTGTGTGTGTGCGTGCGTGCCTGTGCATCTCTGTTCGCCGATATGTGTGGAGAGGGGTCATGAGTGGGTGCTTTCATCAATCTGCCTTGTGCGTTGGGACTGAGGGGGGGAATGCTGGGGCGGACGTGCGTATATGCATGTGTGCATGTGTGCATGTGTGCATGTGTGCATGTGTGCGTGTGTGCATGTGTGTGTGCACGTGTGTGCACGTGTGTGCACGTGTGTGCATGTGTGTGCATGTGTGTGCATGTGTGTGCATGTGTGCTGTGTGCATGTGTGCATGTGTGCATGTGTGCTTGTGTGCATGTGTGCTTGTGTGCATGTTTGTCGGCGTGCGTTTGTGTGTGGGTGAAATGTCGCCACGCAGGAGGAGCATGAGGAGGAGGAGGAGCCAGCAAGAGAGCTATCAGCAGCTGGAAAGGCACATAGAGAGAAATGGCAAGTGTTCCATTCCATCCACCCTTCTGCTCGTGCTCCTCTGCTCATGCTCCTCTGCTCGTGCTCCTCTGCTCGTGCTCCTCTGCTCATGCTCCTCTGCCCGTGCTCCTCTGCCCATGCTCCTCTGCCCGTGCTCCTCTGCCCGTGCTCCTCTGCCCGTGCTCCTCTGCCCGTGCTCCTCTGCCCGTGCTCCTCTGCCCGTGCTCCTCTGCCCGTGCTCCTCTGCCCGTGCTTCTCGGCCATTTGTTACACCATCGTCATCAGCATCTGGCTGTTTACTGCTTGCAGCAACTTCCCTATTCCCAACTCTCATTTCTCTGCTACCATCTCTTGACTCTCTCAAGCTACCCTGTCCTACTCCTCCTCCCTCCGCTCCTCCCTCCTCTCATGCCACCCACTGTCGCCCTCCCCACACTAGGCTGAAGCTGAGGCAGCGTCAGAAGGAGCGCATAGCCAACCGAGGCAAGACGCCTCCCCCCAAGCCAAGAACCACCCATGCCTCTTCCAAACGGCCCCACCACCCATCAGCCACTCACACCGCCTCAACCCCTTCCCATGCGGCCGGCAAACCAGCCTTAGCTGGTCACGCACACAAGGGAGCAGCGGCAGGAGCAGGAGGAGCAGGGGCAGCTGGCAAGTCTGGCACTGGAGCTGCTGCTGCAGGCGCAGCAGCAACAGCAGCAGCAGGAGCTGGAGGAGCAGGGGGAGCAAGCGGAGCGAGTGGGAATGCGAGTGGGGTGATGGGCATGGAGGGCAGGAGGGAGTCTCACATGGTAGGCAAGGTGCCGGCTGAATGGCTCTGGAATCACCCCGGAGCTGCTGGTGCCGGCAAGCCTGGCACAGCCACCACAGGAGCAGCAGCAGCAGGGCAATGGCGTGCGGGGGGGGCGAGTGGGGCAGGGAACGGCACAGGGCAGGGGGGAGCAGGGGCCATGGCGCATGCAGGCATGGGAAGAGCTGGGGAGAAGACCGAGCCTCGACCTTTCAGTCCGAACCAGCATCTTGGGCTCGGGAAGTCAAGCATGGGTGGAGGTATGGGGGGAGCAGGAGCAGGGGCACGGGCAGCGGCAGGGGCAGGGGCTGGGCCAGGAGGGGCGGGTCAAAACTCTTCGACAGGGGGCCCTCAACGTCTGTATGTCGACTCCTCGTCTCTCACCTTCCTTCCCCGCCCCCCGGTTCTGCGGAATTACGGGGGTGATGCGGCGGGGGCAGGCGTGTCGAATCCGGCTCTTTCGGCTGCTGCTGCACATGCAGCAGCAGCGGCGGCAGCTGCAGCAGGCAGCGGGCGTGGAGGCAGCAATGGGGCGCACGCAGCAGGAAAAGCCGGGGGAGGAGGTGGAGAGGGTGGTGGGAACAGTCGCCTTTTGAATACTCCCAGCACGTTTAAGTTCGGCGGGAATGCTGTTCCTGCAGGCAAGGCAGGTAACGCAAGTCCTATGGCACAGCAGCACCAGCAGCAGCAGCATCAGCAGCACCAGCAGCAGCACCATCAGCAGCACCAGCAGCAGCATCACCACCAACACCAGCACCAGCAGCACCAGCACCAGCACCAGCACCAGCATCATCAGCAGCAGCAGCAGCAGCAGCAGCAGCAGCAGCAGCAGCAGCAGCAAGGGAGCAGACACGCACAACACGCCCGTCCTAGCAACATGCCGTCGCAATCACCGTCGCCATCACCCAACCCGGCTCTCGGAGGCAAGCCGTCAAGCGTCGTCCACACAACGGACACCTCTCACATGGCAAGATCAGCCGGTGCTGCTGTTGCACCCGGCTCCATGGGCAGCAGCACAGCAGCAGGCATGGCTAGCGCCTCGTCCCCCCAGCAGCAGGCCACTGGCAAAGCGCCTCTCCTCTTCCTCCCCAACTTCCCCAGCTTCCCCTACCCGCACCTCCCGCCCTTCTCTCGCACGCCTGGGCAGCAGTCCACGTCCGTGCAGCCGCCTCCTCTGCCGTCCTTTGCTCACATGCCCACTCATGATCAGTCGGGGATTATGGGTGGTGTGGGCCCCGGTGGGAAGGCTGTCTGGATGAATCCACAGCCGCAGCAGCACCAGCAGCAGCAGCATCAGCACCAGCAGCACCAGCAGCAGCAACAGCAGCAGTACCACCACCAGCAGTACCAGCAGCAGCAGCAGCAGCATGGCACACAGATGGCAGGAAAAGGGGGACCGTTAAAGTCACCCCCTCCTGATGCAACTCAAGGGTCGGCAGCGGGGAAGGCAGAGGAGCAAAGGCAGGCCAAGGGGCAGAAGCGTGCAGATAAGCAGAGTCAAAAAGACACCCCAAAGGAAGGCCAGAGAGGCAAGGAAGGCGAGCAGGCAGGGTCACAGCAGCAGCAGCAACAACAACAGCAGGGCATTGGTGGTACTGCTGGTGACAGCGGCAGCGGCGCGGCTATCAACGTGGAAAAACTGAGGTACCAGAACGTGTCGTTCCCCCAGCGCATATACACCGTCATTGGGGTCCCCATAGGGCCCAGAGGTGCAGGGGCTGTGCCTGCTTCTGCGGATATAATCGCTGCTGCCACTAAGGAGTTGCTGGCAGCGGGGGGGACCCCACAGCCGCGCGCCTCTGCTTCCACTCCTGGTGCTACTGCTGGGACTGCTGCTGCCGGTGGTGCTGGTGCTGCTTCTCCTGCTGCTACTGCTGCAGCAGCAGGTGCTCAGAATGCTGCGCTGCCAAAATCTGCTGGTGCCGCCGGTGCAAGGGGTGCAACGGGGGCAGCGGCAGATGCGGATATGCATGCAGCGAATGGGTTGGGTAAGGCGGGTGCGGAAGAGAGGGACCCGAGGGAACAGCGTGAAGGGGGGGCTGTAGCACGTGACGCAGGTGCTGCTGGGAGGTCGGGTGCAGGGAAGGAAGGGAGACGAGGTGGGGAGGAGAGAAGCGCACAGGCGAAGGGAGGGTACCGGGACTGGCTGGTGGAAGGGACGGAAGCAGCAGCTGCTGCAGCAGGAGAAGCAAGGGATAAGGACAGACGAGTTAGCGTTGCTGGTGCTGGTGGCGAGAAGGCAGCGCTCGGGAAGGAAGTGGAGCAAGGGAGCAGGGCAGCAGGTGCAGGAAGGCAGTGGGGTGAGGAGGAGCTGGATGCGTTGTGGATGGGTGTGAGGCAGTATGGGCGAGGGCAATGGAAGGCTATTGTGAAAGACAGAAAGCTGAAGATGAGAGATGGGCGGACAGTGGCGGAGGTAGAGGAGAGGTGGGCTGAAGAGGAGAGGAGGGTTCTGGGGTGGACTGAGGCGGAGCAGGAAAGGAGGGAGGAGAGGGAGAGAGAGAAGAAGCGAGAAGGGAAAGAGTTGGAGGTTGGGGAGGAGGAAGCAGATGACGTTATAATGCTGGGGGCTGATGAGGTGCATAGGGAGAGGAGCAAGCGAGGGGGGGACGTTTCTGGAAAGGGGCGAGATGTGCAGAGGAGGGATGGTAAGCGGAAGGTTGGTGAAATGGAGGTGGAGGGAGGGGACGGCAGGGAGAGTGGGGAAGATGAAAGGGAGCGTGTGGTGGGGAAGAGGGCACGGGGAGAGGGGCAGGGAGGAGGGAGAGGGGTGAGGTCTTATGAAGAGGTGGGAGTGGGTGTAGGAGGGTTTGAGAAAGAAAAGGGTGGAGAGAGGAAAAAGGAGAGAGTAGTGGCATCAGCAGAAGGTGCAGAGGAACTAGAGCATGGTGGGGTTGGGGGTGCAAGACATCAAGTTGCAAGACAACAAGATGCACACGGAAAGAGCGGAGTAGGGGACATGAGTATTGCTGGTGCTGGTGCTGGCGCCATTGTTCCCTATAGCGAGAGCAGGAAGGGCGGGGAGAGGGAGAGTGGGATAGCAGGCAAGGAGAGGGCTGAAGGTGCTGACAGGCGGGGTGGAATGGAACGGGCGACTGACAGTGAGCAAGGGCTGTATGCCAGAGATGGGATTGGCATGGTGGAGGAAGAGGAAGAGGAGGAAGATGATGTTCAAGTCATCCCACCGTTTGGGTCCACTGCCCCTGTTGCTGGTAATGGTGGTGACAGCGCAGCAGCAGGTGCTGCTGCTGCTGCCAGTGACAGGAAGGGCAGAGAGGCACAGGAGGCAGGGAAGGACGGATGGGGCGCCGAGGACAGAATACAGCAGTCCCCGACTCATGTCTCACATAAGATCACTTCACCGCGTGGCACCACTTTGCACTCCTCGTCTCATCACCTCCTGTCCTCTCCCAAGCTTTCCTCTCCTCACTCCCAGCCCCGTCACACCAGCAACCAGTCTGCTGGTCCCCCGCGGTCGCCTCTTCTGTCCCTTCCGGCTCCCCCCTCTGCGCCCTCACCCTTGCCCACTCAGAGCTCTCCCTTAACACCCTTGGACTCTAAGCAGCAGCAGCAGCAGCAGCAGCAGCCTGCGAGGGCTTCTATGCACTCTTCCAAGGAAGAGCATGGGGATGTGTCAGGGCAAGCACCGACCCACGCACCCACTGCCCTCTCCAAGGCCCCATTCTCCACCCTCCTCTCCTCCCCACCAGTCCCCAAGCCCCCTCCTTACACTCAACCACCCACTTCTGCTCCCACATCCACACCAACCATGCCCACCGCTTTCCCTCCAGCATCTGCTCCAGCCCCACCGCTCTCCACCGCAATCATTTCTCACTCCTCAAGACCCACATCTGGGCCGCTTCCCCCAGTGCCTCCTGGTTACTCCTTCCTCCCACCTCCCCGCCGCTCCTCTGCCCCCGCGCGCCCCATCGCTTCTTCCCAGCTCACCGCTATTTCTGTGGCATCCAAGCATCTCGCTGCTGAGTCCACGCCAGTGCTGCCGAGAGCTGCTTATGTGGCGCCGCTTGATTGGACGCCGCGGCCGTTGCCGAGGATCCGCAAGATGAAGAAGTTCTGGAAGCTTCAGAGGAGTCGCGCTGCTGCTGGGGCTGCAGCAGTTGTGGGTGCAGGTGAAGCAAGGGGAAATGGAGTGAGCACTTTAAGGCAGGGACCAGGCGGGGGGGACTTAATTCCTGTACATCCTGCTGATGCTGCATCTGCAGCACCTGCACCACTTCATGGATTAGCAATGCCCTCTTCTTATGCTAATGCGTCACGTGATCAGCAACAATGAATGTTCATGGGCTTGTGTTGTATTCGGTCGGTGCAATAGATTATGGTGCTGTGGTCGGAGTGTAATTCCATTCAAAACCTGTTTAAGACCATCAATGAACTTATCAGTGGTGTAGTCAGTCCAGATGGTCTCCCTTCTGCGCGTACATGCGCAATCATGTCGAAGATTCCGCGCTGCTGCGCCTTACGTCATTCCATTGCGCACCGATGGCGTGTGCCAAACATTTCGCAACGTTCGTCTATCGCGTGTTTCGCTGCATGCGTCGCTCAACAAAAATTTCTGATAGCGTAAACCGTAATAAAGAACACTGAACCGTACTGCAACGCACAATATAAGGCACGCGGTGCCCTCACTTCGTTCGCTACCTGCAACTGCCTCCGTCCAACTTGCTTGCAAAATGAGACGACCAAGCAAAGCGACGCCTGTGTGCAGAAATTCGTGTGTTCCTTTTGGAGCTCCACATTCAGCCAGTCTCGCTCAATTTCCTTTCAACCCACCAGGCCCAAATTCAATTTCACTTGCATCTCCACCTCACCACATTTTGTGTTTGACTTCAAGCCTGAAGCGGACTTGAGCTGTATTTCTTTAGACTGCAGATCCGTCCGATACGCGGTTCACCATGGCGGGTGCAGATCCAGTGGTGCCGGAAAAGATGTCGGCCTGGCAATACTCGAAGCGCGGCGGCGGCGCAGAGGCTTTGCATGTAAGAACGCACCGCTGTTTCGTCCCACAATTCCCTATCACTTCCAACTTACCCTTCTCTTCTTGTACGACGTCAGATCTGAAAGCATGTTCTGATTAGTCCCGTCACACCGTCGCATCTTCCTCACCGTTCCTTCCTCCTTACACACCCTTCTCCATCCCACCGAACCCCTCTCCTCCCCCCGCGTCCACAATCGTAGCTGAACGAGAACGCACCAGTGCCGAAGCCTGGCAAGGGCGAGGTGCTGGTGAAAGTGAGCGCGGCGAGCATCAACCCCGTGGACTGGAAGATCCAAAACGGCTACATCCCCATCCTGCCGCTGCGCTACCCGGCCACTCCTGGTAATCTCCCGCGCCTCCCTCTCTTCTCGCATCCATCTTGCTTTCCGTCTTCTTTTTCCCCTCTCCCTTTCTCTCCCGCCCTCCCACTTTCCGTCGCTCCCTTCCTCCCTCCCCTCCCTCCCTCTCCCTGCCCTTTCTCCCTTCTTTACTCGTCAGTCACTCTTCTTTCACTCTTCTTTCACTCTTCCTCCGTCTCCCTCCGTCCCTGGCGGTGCAGGGATGGATGTCGCAGGTGATGTGGTGGGCTTGGGCCCAGGGGCCACCAAGTACAAAGTGGGCGACAGTATCTTCGGCTCATCAACGCCTTTCGTGAGTTTCTTGCCCACTGCAAAGCTTTTCGTATCCCTTCCATTTCGCACGTTTCTCTCCCATCTCCGTCGCTTCCAAGTGTGTTTGGTGTTTATCATCTTCGTCTGCTGAATGTCACTCCAATGTGGTGATCTTCGTGTGCGTTTGTTTCAGAAACTGGGTGCGCTAGCACAATATGCTGTGCTCCCAGAATCAGGCAGTGCTTCCAAGCCCGCCGCCCTTTCTCCTGAAGTCGCAGCCGCCCTTCCAATCGCGGGCGAGACAGCCCTTCAGGCCCTGCGTAATACCGCCGGCTTGCCGTTGCCCGCCACTCCTGCTGATGACATCAAGGGCGGCTACAGCGGTCGTGTGCTGGTGGCGAACGCGTCAGGAGGTGTGGGGCATCTGGCAGTGCAGCTGGCCAAGCTGGCAGGAGCACATGTGACAGCCACCGTGGGAGCACGCAACTTCGAATTTGCGAAAAAGCTGGGAGCAGATGAGGTGCTGGATTACAAGACAGAGGCTGGGCAGCGCCTGTCTGCCTCCGCTGCTACCCCACTGCCCCCGGCTGAGCTGTACAATGCAGTGATTGACGGCACTAGCGGCCTGTCTGTTGCCACTGTGGACCGGGTGCTTCCTCCAAACGGTAAGTGGTTGCACCTCACGCCACCACCTTCAATCATGGCTCTGGGGTTGTGGCGATCCATTGCTTTTCGCCCCAAGAGGGTGTACCCCATTTTGATGGAAGGCAAGGGCTCGGATCTGGAGGTTCTGGCAAAATTGGTGGTTGATGGGAAGCTGAATGTGACACTGGATGTTACAGTGCCTTTTGAGAAGGCCAGGGATGCATGGACACGGAGCATGGAAGGCCACGTGGTGGGGAAGGTGGTTGTGAAAATGGACTGATCAGTTCGGTATACTGCTTAGATGCGTGATGCATGTCGTACCGTACTTAAGACTGCTGGGAGAATGTTTTGTTACTCTCTTGTACAGCATTACGGGTTTCCATTAGGAGCCCTTATTGATACCGTTTTGTTACATTTTCACATCAGGCGTACTATTGAGATGATGGAGGCTCTACCTTGGTTAAGTAGGGCAAGACAACCAGAGGTCACAGGTTTAATGTTGCACATTGAGCATTTCTCGTATGAACCTTTTTGTTTAGGTGTGAGAAGGTAGCCCTGGCTTTTTGCTTTAGGGTATACCACAGCCCATCCATACAGGGATGTTTCGTAAGATTTACTGGACGCTGAGCCTGATGCCTCAACTGACAACAATAAACCATCCCTGCTGGCCGTCCGTTTTCATTATCGGTCTGACTTTTCGCCAGACCCCGATTCGCTTTCCCTCCGACCTGGAAGGAGGAAAACCAAACCCAAGGTCCTCGCCCCATCAGCTCTGTGCCGCGCGTCACTGCTGGGGAACTTTGTCAACGATATGTCGCTCACTCTCGGCTTCGCTGAGCGACAAGGATGGCGAGGGGCAGGCGAAGAAATGTTTATGTAACACTAGCCATACATTCCCAAGGTTCGACCCATCGGTTTCACGTGTGGTGGAAAATCGTTTGAACTGTGATGAGGTGAGTGTGTGACCCGCTGACACAAGATCACCGCCTGCCTTTCCCTGTGCTTGACAAACCTGATTTTGACTTCCCATTCCTGCCACGTACTGCTGCCACACAGCAGATGCAACGCCTTCTCACCACTGCCTAGCGTTTTCTATGTTTGCACCCTGCAACCGTGTCCTCGTACCTAACGAAACACGAATGGACTTGTGAGTCTGCTACGTTTGACCAAGCCGACTTCTCTGGCGTTCGTTCCTTTCCAAATGCCGCTGGTTACCTCCGTCGCACCTTTGAACCTGAATTCCACCAGCAGGACACATCATTGTTCTTGCGAAACTCTTAGCACCCCTATGTCAAGGGACTTTGTGGCATCTTTTTTTCTCTCAAGAACTGTCCCACTCGGCGTTACTGATACCCTAATTGTCCGTCGTAGAACCATTGCGATAGTGATCGTTATTGTCGATCCCCGAAACGTACCAGCCTAGTGCAGCTAGGGGGCTCTTAACGCCATGTTAATATTCAGGCCGGTTCGCACGTGAGCTGCGCTGCGTAACATAGACGTTAGCGGTTCGACTTGGCCGGATCGCATCCAGCTTCTACAAATAAAAGTTATTCCCAACAACCTCGTAGGTTTTGGATTCGTTGGTCTATTCTGACCAGCTTATGGAATCTTGATTCCAGTGCACTTCAGGAATTTCGACTGGAGCCTTTCCACGCATCCTTTTCACAGAGTAGCTTAGGACCCGCCATGACACCATCCTAACGAGATCTTCGTAAGCTACACTGATTGCCCTGACCCGGGCTATGAGAGGTGTCACGAACTGCTCATTCCGTTGTAGCACATGCTGTTCGAGCATGCACTAGTGCCAGCACCGTCAGCAGTAGTGTCAGCAACCGCAGTGCCAGTCTTCGTCGTCTGAGCAGAAGGAGTAGGGGGAGCAGGGGGATCAGGGGAGCAGGGAAGGCAGGGGGGACGGGGGAGCAGGGGAAGCGACATAATGGGTTCGTGCTTCTCAAAGCCTCGGGTGGAGGGAGGCGATGCTTCTTCTGAGAACGGAGGGAAGAAGAGGCAGAGCAGCAGAACGTCTGGCAAGAAGCCTGATGTTGAAACGGCCGCACGAGGGAGCTCGACCGTCGAGCAGCAAGGCCAACACGTGCGGAAAATGAACGCCGAGGCAAAGAATGGCCAAGTGTTTGCGCAGCTAGCGTCAGCTGCGATATCTACCGCGGAAGCAGAACTAGCAGCAGCAAGAGAATCAGGTAGTAGCAGTGGTGGTGTTGGTGCTGCTGCTAATGTTGCTGCTGCTGACAGAGCGGATATGGGGCGCGAGGACGAAGCAAACGAGGAGTTTGCAGATGCGCCCTCCAGGCAGGACTCGGGGGAAGATGAGCTCCAGAGCGCCAGAGAAGGTACGCTGAATTCAGTATAGCTGGTCTCATGAATCAAACGGAGCGAATTCCGTTCATTCTTGCTGTGATCTCTGTAGCCGTGGTCATGGCCTGTAGCCCTGAAGCGACACCTCCTGTTCTCTCTCTTCTACCGTTCTTGTCTCAGACTCAAGCTCGCAAGCAGCAAGTGGAGCGGATATAGAAATCAGTGTGACTGACCGCCACGTGCCTACCATGGCCAGTGGTCCTGGTCCGGGTTCTGATCTGCCAGAGATTCGGCCTGCTCGTAACGTTCCTCCCACGACAGAAGCATCGGCTGCAGAAGATTGGGCTTGTCAGAGGACTGCGAGTAGTGTGGATGTAGAAGGAAGAGCGACGGAAGGGGTTCAATCAGAGGAAGCGAGGCGAGAAGGGGTACCCGCGGGGTCAGAGGCGTACAGCGGGGAAGAGATGAGATTGGACGGTGTAGATGGAGCGGTGGAAAGGAATTCCAGTGGCAGGAGACGTTTATCTGGAGAAAATCAAGTGCGTCATGGGAAGAGCATTGCAGCTGGCACAGCAGGCCGGACTCGAAATGGTGACAAACAGCTGCAGGAAGACAGCAGAAGCAGGGGAGGAGTGAAAGGCGAAGATGGAAGGGCGGTGGCGCCACAAGTAGCAAAGGCAACTCAAGCACCAGGTAACCCAGCAGCAGCAAGATCAGCATCAGCATCAACAGCAGCAGCAGAAGCGGCTGTCAGGCACTCATCAACTCTGCTCGGCCCAGTACTGTCTGACTCCGCTGCTCTTGATTACTATGGACCGTCGCTGCTCAAACAAGGGTCACGGAGGGGCAGGAGCAGAGAGTTCAGCAGGCGGGGCGATGGGGGTGGCAAGGGCTGTCTGCAGTATGAGGCGAGTGGGAGTGATAGCGAGGAGGGGGATATGCATGCAGGGCGGATGGGTAAGGGCAAGGCTAGGGTTTGTTTGGGTGGCGAATATGGGCTGGATGGGGATGGAACGGATGGGTACTGCTTTCCCAGGAGGAAAAGAAAGGCGAGTCGGCAGGGTAAGAGTGTGGTGGAGAGCGGTGCAGAGAGAGATGGTAGGGTTGTGTATGAAGGGGGGCTTGTGGGAAGTAGCACCAGAGGGAGAGGAGAGGTGTATGATCAAGTGCAGGAGCCTAATGGAGGGGCGCGTGGGAATGAGGAGGGCTTGATGGTACAGGTGGTGAAGAGAAGACGAGGACGAGAGAAAGAGAAGGAGGAGAAGGAGAAGCAGAGGGTTCCTGTGAATGCAAACGACGGGCTTAACGTTTTCATGATGACTCGTAAGTTCTCTTGCTTCTTGCATTGCCTGGCTTTGCTCCTGTGCTTGCTTCCTCGCTTCCTGCAATCCTCTCATCCTCCTTCTTCCCTTGTTCCTAAGACGCTGTTAAGCTTCTTGGCGCAATCCTGTTTCCCCCTTGCGACAGAGAAAGGCACGAGGGGAAAGAAGGGTAGTATTCAGCGCAAACCAAGGCTAGCAGCTGGTGGCGAAGAAGCAGCAACAGCAGGGGCAGCAGGAAAGGCAGCGAAGGGCGAGCGTGCATGGTGGGGGGCGGCCCCTCCTGAGTTCGTGGATGCAAACAGCCATTCTGACGATGACTTCCAGTCTGCACGTGCTGGTACGGGCTGCTCGCCTTCTCTGCACTGTTCGCTGTGCGAAGCACTTGACGTGCAGGCATTCTCTGGCATGTGATTTGTGGGCATGCGCTTGCTTGCCATGTGCATGCATTGCCTTGCCTCAGTCTCTCACAATATTGATCTCAGCGCCCTGCTTTCCCATCCTCCTTTCACCCCTCCTCTACTCCTTACCATTCCGCCTGTCCCCTCCTCCCTCTCCCACATCCCACACCCCTTGTTGTCGCCCTCCACAGACACCCTGTCACAGGCGAGTTCCATGACAGCAGCTAGCCTGTGCCAGAGAGGCGCACAAGCAGGCATGATGCTGCCGGCGCAGGCAGGCAGGGCACTAGTGGGCAAGCTGCAGGAGGGCGCAGGAGCGTTGCTCACCATCCACCACTGTGACTCGCGCACTCAGCAGCAGCCCGCTACTCCCATGCTTACTCCAGGTGCGTGTGTGGGCTCGTTGGGTCTGGTCAGCCTGTGGAGTTGGGTATCGGCACACCAGTTTCTTATGTATGATAGGCAACGGCGTCTGTGTCGTCGCAATGCTATTCCCTGACTGACCCTGATGCTCGTCCTAGCATTTCTCTCCGTGAATTCCCTCATGACTCTCCATCAACCACCCACTCAGCTGAACCCCCATTACCGTTCTTATGCCAATCACCATCCACTCTCCCCCACCCTGCCTCACCATCACCATCACCATTACCATCGCGTTTGCAGAGGCAGATGCAGGTGGTATGAGCGTCCGTCCCTCCTCCCCCCGTTGCTCCAAGGGCCTGTCCTCCGTATTCTCAGTTGCTCGCAAGGTGCTCTCCCCTCGTGGGGCCCGCGTGTCAGCATCCTCCTCCTCTTCCAAAGCAGGTCCGTCTGCCTACACTTTCACTGCCAGCACTTATCACTTTGAATGATGTGCCCTGTTGCCGTTATTTTTTGCTGACTCGCGACTGAGTCTGTGCTGCCGCTGTTTGTGCTGCTGTTGCTAGCCTACTTGCTGCTCTCCTGTGCCTCATCAGCTCTGTCGTTTAAGTTATGATACTGCATTGCTGCATCAGTTTGCTGTGCTGCTGCATGCCTTATCAAGGCATGTCATGGATTTCGCATTGGAAACATGGTGCGGCAAAGTGATGCCTGGTGTGACATTCTTGGATCCCCGCTTTCCTGCCCACCACCCTGGGCTATGGCAGGCGGCAGCAAGCCATGCGTGCCATCCTTGAGTGGGGAGAGGAGGGTTCATGGGAAGGCAGGATTAAGGAGGAGGAAGGATGGGACCGTGGGGAGGGGGCAACAGGAGCTTGGAGTGGGAGTGGAGCAGGAGGAGCAGGAGGACGAGGAGTTCCATAGTGCTGGGAGTGAGAACTCTGGTGCGTTGGCATTGTGTGTGTGACCGGATGTTGCACATGCAAAGACAAGGCACAGATGGAAAAGCGTCTCACTTTTTACAAGCATCTTTTTCACCACTATTAAGTCACCCTTTAATCCTTGAGTTGCTGTTTCCCCCCCCCCTGTCTTTCTTATCAACATTCGTACATGTGTATTCATACTTCCTATCATGCTCCAGATGAGCTGGAAGAAATGTTCAACACAGCGCCTCTGCTCCTCACCACCCCGCCGCCACACCTCCCCTCGCCAAGTGCGGGCAAGCCTGGAGATTTTTCAGAGGACGAAGGAGAGGGCAGTGGGGCGGAGCATGATTCACAAGAGGGGGTGGAGGCGGCAGAGGATCAAGAGGGAAGGCGCACCGCAACAGGCAGTTGTGGGAAAGTGGAGTCTGGGACGCGCGTTGCTGCACAAGCACAACAGCAGGCTGCCAACGCTGTTACACCTGCTGCTGCTGCCGTTGCAGCTCGCGATGATGCCAATGATGCCGGTGCCACCACCATTGGGGCTACAGCTGCTGCACCCCACCCACACCGCGCCTCCCGTTCTCCCCTCCAAACGTTTGGCGCTACGATGCTCTCTGCTGCCCGCACTGCACTCTCCCCCTCCCGTCGCTTCTCCTTCTCACCTGCCACTGCTCCTGGCCCTGCTGCTGGCACGCGGAAAGTCAGGGCATGGAGTATGGGCGGTAGTGGGGACGAGAGGGAGGTGGGTAGGTCACAGCAGAGTGGAAGTAAGGAAGGGGGTGATGGTGCAAGGATGGCGCATGGAGCGTCAGCAGCGGAATGGCTGGAAAATGAAGTTTTTGCTGTGCATTCAGATACAGTGATCAAGCCAGCCCCACCCAGCAGCCCCTCATTCACACTTTCTCAACCAGTCGCCTCCACCTCTCACTCCTCCTCCACTCACCCCCATATCCCAACCTCTCTCTCTGATCTCCATGTATCTGCCTCCGCACAACCATCCCCTCGACTCCACCTGCACGTCGATTCAAATGCTGCTGATCCCACCTCTTCCTCCCGTCGCCCCTTTTCCTCTCCAAGCTCGCCCACCATTGCCCTGCACTCTTCTTCCTTCCGTTCCACATCCCCTCGCACCTCGTTTCGCCACTCCCCCTTGTCCTCTCGAACGCGTGTTCGGGCAAAGCAGACACACCGGCCCTTCTCCCCTGGTTCGGCCGCACCTCGGAGGCTCTCCGATGCTTCAGGTTCGGGAGTGGAGCGGCCCCGGACCTGGTCTTTGCATCCAGAGCTTTGGAGTCGGGTGACTAAGGGAAGAGAGGGGCAAGCAGAGTTGGGAGGTTCTAGAAACGTGGTGAGCAGTGGAGGTGGTGGGGGTGGTGCTGTCCCTGCTGCCGCACTCACAGCGCCAACAGCAACAGCAGCATCAGCTGGAACAGCAGCAGCACCTGTGCTTTCGACCAGCATGAGAACACAAAACGGTGAAGCAGCAGCAGCAGCAGCAGATGCCTGTAACCGTGGCACTGCAGAGTCTGTAGCCCGCTGTAAGGGTGCCAGCGAGCACACTAACAGCCCTGTGCATGGGCTGGAAGGGCGCCAACGCGGGGCCTCCCTCTCCCCAATGCCCCGCACCTCCTCCACTCCCTCTTTTACCTCAGCAACAGCAGCAGCAGCAGCAGCAGCAGCACGAGCAGGAGCAGGGGAAGCAGCCGGAACAGCAGGAGCGGGACGAGAAGGGGCAGGGGGGGCAAGGTCACGTGTGACAGTACACGGAGGGGCAGCACGAGATGGGACAGAAGGAGAGGGCACAGCAGCAGCAGCAGCACAACGAGGAGGGCTGCCTCGATGGAAGTCACTTCACACATCCTTCTCCGTGCCCTCCCTGCATAAGCTCGCTCACTCCGTGGCTGCTGCTGCTGCCTCTGCTGCTTCTGCCACGCCTCCTGTCTTCAGGAGTCCACCTCCTGTCAGGACCCCTAGGCAGCGCATGACAGATGCGGAGGAGGAGGAGGAAGGAGATGAAGACGAGGAGGACTTTGGGGCGTTCAGAGGGGTTTACTGGGAGAGGGAGAGGGAGCGGCGGCAGGAGCAACCAGCACGAGTGAGCGTGCCAGTGCGCGTGGATTCGGAGACTGCAGTTGCCAAGATGTTACTAGGTGATGAATTCAAATCTTCATATTCTCCATTCTATCGTTTCCCCACGTTTTCTTGCACCCAATTGAATCTTCAAGCTGCCTGAAGCTGCTCTTACTCCTCTCCCTTATCTGTTACCTACCTTTCCCTGACATGTCTACCCATTGTATGCATCTAACCCCTACCCTGCCCCTCCCTTCTCTTCCCATCTCTTTTCTGTCCTCTTCCCAACCATTCCCTGTCACAGCCCCCCGCAAGGTCCTTCACATGCCTGAGCCAGGGTCGCAGCTACCACACCATGTGTCCCTCTCCCGTCCTCCCCGCCGTCGCTCTTCCCCGCTCGTCATCTCCCCCGATTCCTCTCCTGACCGTGCCTCCTGCACCTCGCCTCCCCTGTCCGCGCCACCACCCCCCCACTGCTGGATGACCGTCAGCCCAGCATGCTTGCCTGTGCGCGGAACAAGCTACTTCAGGTGTGGCAGGGGGCTATGCAGCAGGGAGCAATGCAGTTTCTCTTATTTTGTCTCTCCGTTCTCATTCGTCCTCGTTTCTCATGCTCTTTCGGCCCCTCGAGCACCACCACTCCCCACCCCCCGTAACCTCTCCCCTTTCCTCTCTTCCCCTCCTCCCCGCCACGCTTGCCCTAACAGCACGGGTGGGAAGCAGGCAGGGCATCACATGACGCCATACACAGTGACAGCAGTGGATGTATTTCACACGCCCCACAAGCTCACCCACATTGCTCGCCTCCTTGACCTTCCTTCTGCTGCCGCCGCTGCCACCGCTGCCGCCACCGCCACCGCCCACTCCTCAGCTGCTTCCTCCCCGCGCACTGCACCCCCCGGTGCTGCTGCTGCGGTTGCCACAGGCTTAGCTTCTCGTGAAGCTGCTGCTCTTGCTGCTGCGCTGCCGCGAATGTTGCTGATTCACGTGCAGGCAAGTGTGGGAAGGGTGCTACCTGTAGCTCCCTCGCCCCGAACCTATTCCCTCTGCCCTTACCACATCAGCCTCTTCTGAATCCAATTCGCTGTTCTCGTTTGCCTTTCCTTGCACTAGCCCAACCACCTTTCCTATCCCAACAGTCCCCTCTATTCAATCCAAATCACCCTCCCTTCTCTGCTCCGCTTTCTCACCCATCCACTCCCCTCGCCCTCACATCCCACTGCCCCCATCAGGTGCCCATCCACACGCCGCGCTCTCACATCCCGCTGCTGTCATCTGATTCACATGCATCAGAGGGGTTTAGCCTCGTGCTCTATGCGTACCTCTGCCCCGCATTCTTCTCATCCGCGCCCCCCCACATGCTGGCGCTGCTCCGGGTGAGTTAGTCCGCAGGCTTGCTGCCAGAGGCTGCTTCTAACTGAGGGAGGAAGATGAGACAGGGAAGGGAGTGCATGGATTAGGCTACTCGGTAGCCGAGTAGCTGGGAGGCTGGAAGTTGACGAGATCTCTGCAGTGTTCCTTGTTTCCATGTTCAAGCTTCCAACACATGCCAGTGCTACCTATCCCTTTCTCCTCCCTCCGTCCCTCCCTCCCTTCCTCTACCCTCCCTCATTCCCTCATTCCCTCATTCCCTCATTCCCTCATTCCCTCATTCCCTCATTCCCTCATTCCCTCATTCCCTCATTCCCTCATTCCCTCATTCCCTCCCTCCCTCCCTCCCTCCCTCCCTTCCTCCCTCCCTCCCTCCCTCCCGCCTTTCCCCCGGTCCTCCATCTTTCCCTCCGTCCCTAATTCCATTGGCAGGGGCTCAAGGGCGGGGTGGAGACAATGAAGGAGGAGGAGGTGGCGCGAGTCTCTGCCATGCTGTCAGGCGCTGCTGCGTTTGTCCCCTTTAAAGAGCGCCTCAAGCTCATGGTTGTGCGCAGAGATGGGGCGAAAGACGCCGCCCGGACAGTCCTAGCACGGGAGGACGGGAATGGGGACGCGAGGAGGGAGAGGGCAGGAGAAAGGGGGTGTGGAGGGATGAGGGGCGAGGCTGGAGGGTTGCATGTAGAGGAGGGAGAGGAGGACGAGGAGGAGGAGGAGGAGGAGGAGAGGGGGGGGAGTGATGAGGAAGGGATTTCAGAGGAGGAGGATGGTGCGGTGGAGGCAGGAGTTGGGAGGAGCTGTGTGCGCAGGAGGAAGGGGGGAGTGAGAAGGAGAATATCAAGGACGGTGGGGAGAGTGATGGGAGTTAGGGACAAATCAGGGGGTGTAGCAGCAGGAGGGAGGGGGCGGAGAGAGGAGTGGGGAAAGGAGGAGAGCGCTGCAATCCTAACACACCCATACCAGATGTTCTTCCGGGTCTGTGCTCGCTCTTCCCTTATTGTCTCTGCTGCCCAACACTTTTCATTTCTGCCTTGTGCTTGATTGCTCCATGCTTCTTTCGCTTTTCAGCCTTTATTTCTCCCTCCTTCAAATCCAAATTCTCTGGAAATATTCTTCCTTATTGCAGCAACTGTATCAGTGGGTGCCTCTTGATTTCACCCTTAATCGTTTCTGGTGATCCATGCCCTCTGTCTTGGCTGTTCCGCATGCGTCTCCCCATCACCATGCATGCCAGGGACCCGACTACTTGGAGATAGACATAGACCTGCACCAGCTGCCTCAATCGTCCCGCAAGGCCCTGCTGCCTCTCCTCTGCACGCTCCCCGACTCCTCTCTCGACCTTGCCCTCATTGCCCAGGTGCCTTGCCCTCGTTCCTTAGTTGCGTCGATATGCAGGTCATGTTTTTTTCCGTCAGTTGGTACTTGATGCGGTGAGTGGGTGTGTGGCAACCAATATCAATTTTTGCTGTCCACCCCATCCTCTGTGATTGCCATTTGACATGGCCTGTCTGCCTGCATGCCTGTCTGCCTGTGATGCTCCCAATATTTCAGGGAAACAACCAGAATGAGGTGCCTGAGCCAGTAATTGCATGTGCTAGACTCAACCATTTGAGTCCTGGCTTGTTCGCTACGCTTCTCCCCACAAAACATTGACGGAGTGGAGCACCGCATGGTCCTCGCTTTCTCTTCACATTCTACTGAACTCACGCTTTTGAGTCATGTTTGTGTGCTCAGTGATGTGTTAAAAGAATTCCTTATGTAATTATATTACTAATATGTCACTTCACTAGTCTGTATAGCTACGGTACATATTTTTTTTGTACCGCCTAGGACCTCCTCCGTACTGTAAGGAAAATCCTGAGTCACAGAGTTCGCGACCCTCGAGGAGCCCGAAGGATCGAGTTCTTACTCCGCTGGAAGGACCGTACACCCACCGAAGACAATTGGGTTCCCCTGGACAGAATCGAAAACCACCCTGTCCTCACCGAGTATCTACGCAGCCGAAATTTTAAGGATGTACACGCACTTTCGTAAGGAGGACCTCCTTAGGGGAGGGGTAGTGTAAGGAAAATTCCTTTTCCTTACTTCGCATCCTTGCTCAACGCGTACATCACTGTAGCACCACAGTCAGCACCATTACCACTTGCAACCCTCGCATCGACAATCCGCCCGCCACCTTCGCACATCGCACCCCGACATCACGGCTCGGCGGGTAACCCGCGCTCCGGGCCTCCGCTTCGACACTTTTTCCCAACCTCAGTCCCAGGCCCGTCGCGCGACAACCACAGTCCATTACCGTTACCACCAGGGACGTCGCTAGGATTTGAGGGTGCCTGATGCATCAGACGGGCCCTTCGAGCCCGTCTGATTCATCAGATTCTGTTTTTTACCGTGTCTGATGTATCAGATACTTTCGAAATGCGTGTCTGGCCAATCGAATGGGCAAATGATTCGGACTTGACCAATCACAGCAGAATCACCCCCTCACAGCAAATTCGGTCCGTCACAGCAGATTCGCTGTCACACTGACACAGCAGATTCGCCCCGTCACAACAATTTCGCCCCTGACACAGCAGATTCGCCCCCTGACACTAACAGATTCACCCCTGACGCATCAGATTCACCCATTCACAACTCGAATCCCATATTCACCCCTGCAGTAATTGGATTCGGTATCAGATGAAACCAAAACATGAACCTGATTGATCAGATTAACTTAAAAACTACCCCTTACCAATCAGAAATTACAAAAACCAATTTCTGAAAAATCAGATGATCTCTAAAAACTCGATTTGAATATAAGACAAACAGACAAAAAATTTCTGCTAGCGACGACCCTGGTTACCACTGTAGTTTCGCTATATATTCTTCGCTCATGCCTTCGCTCATTGTACTCTTGCTTCGATAGTGCAATTCTCGTTCGTTCACTCAATTGCACTTGTAACACTTGGTATTCAGAGCCTACGATCTCCTCTCGGACTGCACCCACACCTTCGCTTCCCCACTATCTCAATTTTTGGGGGCGGTAGACGTCTCTCAGCGACACAGCACCGCCGCTCGTAGTGCTCTCTCGTAAGCACGCACGGCCACGACCGAGGCTCTCGCTGAGCTCGCCCGACACCCCCGCCATGGCCGAATTCATGCTCGCCACATTGACGAAGGACAGCTTGACCGTCTGGTGCGCCAACTCGAAGATTCGGCGCTCGAAATTGCAACGCTCACGGCGGAACGTGACTCTGCGCGTCAGCAATCACTTCAACATGGTATCAGAGCAGGTCCTTCGCTAGGACCGTATTTTTTTAGGGCCCACCACTACCTACCTACCTACCTACCTAACTGCGCCCTAGGGCGCCTCATTCTTCACGGCCCCCTAAGGCCCCGCGAGTGCCCCTAGAGGCCCTTTACGGCCCCGCGCTCGCCCCTAGAGGCCCCGAACGGCCCCCACGCTCGCCCCTAGCGGCCCCTTACGGCCCTGCGCTCGCCCCTACAGGCCCCGAACGGCCCCGCGCTCGCCCTTAGCGGCCCCTTACGGCCCAGCGCTCGCCCCTAGAGGCCCCGAACGGCCCCGCGCTCGCCCCTAGAGGCCCCGAACGGCCCATGACCGCCACAGCCCCTCCAGGACCGAGCCGAGCCGTGCGAACCGAACCGAGCCGCCCAGTCCGAGCCGAGCCGCGCGACCCGAACCGAACCGCGCCGCCCTACCCGAGCCGCGCCGCCCTACCTGAACTGAACCGCGCCGCGCGTACTGTCCGAGCCGCCCTACCTGTCTCACCCTCCTACTCCTACTGCTGCTCCTACTACTCCTATGGCTAGCCCACCTGTGCTAGCTTTTGATGCTGAGGGCCGCCCAGTGAAGTTTGACACCTGGCTAGATGACCTGCACCTCTATCTACAGCTCACTGCCAAGGACGACATCTTACTGTACGACCACGCTCTAGGCCATGTCACTGCCCCTGCTGCTACTGCTGATAACACTGCCCGCTCACAGTGGCAGACTCGTGACGCCCACGCTCGCTTTGCTATTCGCAACTCCCTGCGGATAGATGAGCGCGAGCACTTGGGGGAGCACAAGACTGCACATGCATTGTACACTGCTGTCGTTGCCCGCTACTCCTCACCGGCCTCTGCCGCACTAGGCCGTCTCTCTCTTCCCTACCTGTTCCCCGACTTAGCCTCTTTCCACACAGTCGCTGACCTCATTACGCACCTTCGCACTAGTGAGGCTCGCTTCCGCGCCGCCATGCCTGATGAGTTCCTTGCCAAGAACCCACCCCCGCTCTGGCTCACTCTCTACCACCTAGTCACCCGCCTCCCTGACACTCTGCGCTCAGTCAGGGACCACTTCCTAGCTCGCTGCCCCACTGAGCTCACCATTGCCCTCCTCGAGAAGGAACTCCTTGCAGCTGAGGCTAGCATAGTCGCTGTAGGTGCCTCTCGTGGCGACCCCCGTACCCCGTTCTTTGAGGGGTGTTCTCCTTCCCCCCTTCTTCCCTCTGTCGCCTCTGCTGCTGCTGTCGACCTCCTTGGTGCTGAGAAGGTCAGGACTGCGTCTGCTTCGAGCGGGCGCCGCAGCGGCAAGGGCAAAGGGGGCAAGGGCGGTGGCGGTGACGGCGGGGGAGGCAGTGGTGGGGGCGGTGGCGCCGGTGGGGGTGGTGGCGCGACTGGAGGGGCTAGTGGTAGCGGTGGGGGTGGTGGCGGCAGCGGCGGGGGAGGTGGCAGGGGCGGAGGCGGTGGTGGGGGTGGCGGTGGACGCGGCGGCGGCAGGGGTTGGGGTGGTCGAGGAGGTGGCGGCGGCGGTGGTGGTCGTGGAGGCGCTGGCGGTGGCCAGGGCCAGCAGCACACTCCCTCGCCCCATGAGGTCCGTGAGTGGTACTCTCAGCACGGGGGGGGGGTGTCTTTAGCTGCACGTACGTCATTCGCACTGGTGACCGCACTGGTCAGCCGTGTGGGGGACCGCACGCCACACAGCGCTGCTTCGCTCGTCTCAACGACGCTTGGCGTGTTCAGTTCCATCAGGCCACTGAGCTGCCCCGCTGAGTTGATCTCCTGAAGAAGGGGATTGATATCTATGCTCTAGACTTTGATGCTATTCTCACTGCTATGTATGTGATGTGTACTAGTGGAGAGGGTGCTGAGTACATGTGTGTGCCGCCCGACCCGGGCATTAGGACTAGTGCGTCTGCCGCTCCAGGTACTCGCGTGTCTGCTACCCCAGGTGCTGGTGAGGCAGTTGCTCTAGGTGCTTGTGCGTCTGCCCCCCCTAGTACTGAGTTGACTGCAGCAGTGCACACCTTCACACTGGACTCAGGTGCTTCTCGCTGCTTCTTTCGTGACCGCACTGCCCTTGAGCCGCTTGCTCGGCCAGTTGCTGTCTCCCTCGCTGACCCCTCTGGGGGTCCGGTCATTGCGACCTCCTCCACTGTCCTCCCCTGTCCTGCGGTCCCGTCGGGCACACTATCAGGTCTCCACCTCCCCTCGTTCTCTACGAACCTGGTGGCAGGATGTGCGCTTCAGGACGGGGGTGTTCACCAGTTCACCCCTGCCTACGAGCGAGTGACACACTGCACGTGTGCTCGTACGGGCCGTCACTTGGCTACCTTCACTCGGCAGCCGGGGTCGGACCTGTACACACTGACCACTGAGTCCCCTCAGGTCGTTGCGTCTGCGTCTGCGTCCGCGTCAGGTCAGCTGTCGGCCCCCTGCTCGTGTCGCTCTCTGGCACACGAGACTGTCCTCTGGCACCACCGACTTGGCCACCCGTCTGTGCAGCGGCTTCGTGCCATGCACTCCCGATACCTTGTCTCTGGCCTTCCCAGGGTCCTTCCTCCCCTCCCTCCCTCACCTGCTCCTCCCTGTCTTCCCTGTGTTGAGGGGCGGCAGTGCGCCGCTCCTCACTCCTCCTCGTTTCCCCCGACGACTGCTCCCTTGCAGACGCTCCACATGGACGTGTGGGGCCCAGCCCGCGTCCGTTGTCAGGGTCAGGAAAGGTACTTCCTAATAGTTGTTGACGACTACTCGCGCTACACCACGGTCTTCCCCTTGCGCACCAAGGGTGAGGTCCCTGATGTCTTGATCCCTTGGATCCGCAGAGCCCGTCTCCAGCTCAGCGAGCGTTTCCACTCGGACTTTCCTGTCCTGCGCTTGCACTCTGACAGAGGTGGTGAGTTCTCCTCCGACCTCTTGGCAGCCTACTGTGCTGAGCACGGCATTGAGCAGTCGTTCACGCTTCCGGCCTCTCCACAGCAGAATGGGATTGCGGAGCGCCGCATTGGCCTGGTCATGGAGGTCGCCCGTACCTCCTTGATCCATGCGGCTGCCCCCCACTTTCTGTGGCCGTTTGCGGTCCGGTACGCTGCGCATCAGCTCAACCTCTGGCCCCGTGTCTCCTTGCCGGAGACCTCGCCCACACTGCTGTGGATGGGGGAGGTTGGCGATGCGTCGCGTTTCCGGGTCTGGGGATCTCGAGCTTTTGTCCGCGATACGTCTGCGGACAAGCTCTCCTCCCGTGCTGTTCCCTGCGTCTTCCTCGGCTTTGTCCCGGACGCGCCTGGTTGGCAGTTTTACCACGCCACCTCGCGCCGAGTCTTGCCCTCTCAGGACGTTACTTTTGATGAGTCCGTCCCCTACTACCGCCTCTTCCCCTACCGCACTGC